ACACTCAGGTCTCTTTATCATAGGAAAGAATAAGAATTGTTGACTAAAAGCAACTGCCCTCACAGAGATCACAATGGTTTTCAACCTAGACGTAGTAGGCCACTTTCAAAACATATTCAGAACACTGCTGTAATAATGAGCAAGTTGTTTAGATTTTAAAAAATAAGAATGACAGACTGCCTGTGGCCTATATCTAAAAAAAGAACAATTTGTCAGACTCGTGTTTGAATTCTGCAATGTCCTCTATCAGTCTAAAACACGGATCTCCAAATTGGGCAACTTTTAAGACTTATGGACTTCAACTCCCAGAATTCCTCAGTCAGCACGGCTTAAAAGTTATAAGTTTAAGACTCACAAATCTTAACAGTTGCCAAATTTAAAGGGTAGGAGATAAGAGGAAAGCAAAAGAATGGAATTGGAAGAATGAAAGGGGTGGACTCACTTGTGTTCATCATGTAGCAATTAATCTCTGAAGAAACAGAGTCATAGCAGGAAAAATTTCCCACCCATTTTAAAGAACTATAGCCAACCAACTTTAAAAAAAACATACACACACTTACAGGTCTGGGGAATGTGAAAGGCAATTTCCTTGTCAACTTTTAGACGGGTAGTGAGTTCAGATACCTCCCACAGCCTGAATTCTGGAGCGGTAGTGACATTTATTAAATATTCCAGCACAGTATCACTGAATAAAGCAAGCAAAAAAAAAGGTGTATTTTTTTTTTCAAAAAAGGGGGCTTTCAACAGAAAAATGATTAGAAAAAAAATGTTCCACAATTTTATCAAGGAGAATGCTCAGTGGGTGAACTGAAAAGGGGGATTTGTTACACAGTTAGATGCTTACATGTAATCACGCAGACATTCAACGGAATAAACCATGTTTTCCCGAGTAGCAGTCACACTAGAGAAAAGAACAAAAATGAAGAACTTGCAGAACAGAAAATATATTGGAAATATCTGAAATCTAGCATTAGCCACATTGTGGAATGAATGGATGGATGGATGAATGTGTGTATGTGTGGGGGTGTCATCACTAGTGTTAAGGTGAGATTATCAAATCAACAGTCTTGCTCTTACAACTTGTCTATCTTCCAATATGCTTGAGAAAATACTTGTGCAAAACAAATCATTAAAATTCCCTCTGTAAATCCAGAAAATCTTTATGATAGGCTCAATTTTGATGATTAAATATGAAAGGCTTCCAGTTTTTCTCTTTGTTTAAAGGCCTCAGCTGCTTTCAGTTGCCTACCACGAGCAATTCAAATTCCTTAGCAGTTTATTTGACAAAATGCAAAACTTAAATATGTGCCTTTTAATGAAAAGAATTGCCCGGTGAGCAAACCGCTCGTGAGAATCCATCTCCATTTCCCCAAACCCTTCAAAAGAAAGGCAAACTTTTGGTAACAAACCTGAGATTAGCCGCAACGCTGTCAATGCCCGTGACGATCTTAAAGGAAGAAGCTCCTTTTGTGCTCTGATGGAAGAAGTGGAAAAAAGGTTTAAGATTTTGAGCTGCAATGGAAAATAGGTACTACTGGAAGAAGAGAGGAAACATCTGATGGTGTAATATTGGATCTAGATTGAAGAAGTTAATATATACCACTGAATTACTAAAGGACCCAGACAACATGTTGTCTATTAAGTATTTGATTGTAAAACTAGAAAATTAATACGATATTTATTAAAAAAATATAACTCCGAGCTGTAACTATCAAGGCAAAGGGCAGCCAGAAAGAAATGTAACTCTGCCTTTGTGCATTATAACCAGACACATTGAATCAATCTCATTGCTTCGAGCTATTTAGCTTATGATAGGCAGGATTGAGAAAGATGAGGCAAAGCAAAGGAGAATTGAGCCAAATGGTCGATATTTTTTGGAAATTCTAAAGGCCTGGAGCCTATCCATCCTAACAGCTCTAGACTATATTAGGAGTCACAGCTTCTTAACCCTGCCCTGCCCTGCGCCTCTTGCTCTCCCACTCTGATGACAAAATATGGTAAAATATGAGGGACATAAAGTTTAGATAAATTCACTGATTAAAAACTGAATCTATCAACAGTATTAACGTTAATTAATGTTAACTAGTAATGCTACCTGAAGGAGTGCAAACTAAGGTAATTATAGCATATAACCTTAATATGTTAAAGATTACTTAGAGTAATTACTTTCAATGGCAAAAGGGGCCCTACAACATTTGCTTTTAAGCGCCTTAAATTGATCCATAATTTTAGCTTATTCACGTTATGCTGGAATTAACCCTGGCCTAGTATTATGTGAAACCATTCATTGTATTGTAAGCAGCATTTCCAAATTACAAACAACCAGACAGTATTAGTCCACTGAGCTTCAAAGATTCTAATTTTGGAGGCCAATTGCTGGGGAGAATTTGATAGCCAGCTCAGGCAACCAATTTGGCTAACTGGGCCATTCTATATCCTTTCACTTTGGGCCATTTTTTTTTAAACACAGGAAAAAAAATGATTCTTTCATCATTTTATCTGGACTTTACTCAGCTGCCTGACTCATTCTCCCACCTCAAATTCATGTTTAGTGCATTCCACGTTCAAGAAGAAAATCAACAAGGGCAACTCACGAGGCTGCTTGCAAGACGGAGCAGATGTGACGTTCCCAAATTGCTGGAAGTCTCATATCTACTGCCTGCTTTAATGAAGAGACCAATGCTAGAAACGGGACAATAGTTTTCCAGAGAGGCAATCATCAAGCCACTTGATAATTTTGTGATCTGCATTTAGAAAAAGAGATGTCGGTCCATGTAAGGCTCATGTGACTAAACCCTTAAACAAAAATGTCAAAATGCAAAGAATACTTCAAGTTCAGACCAACCTCAAGATCCTCAGGGGGAAGCTGCACTCGGGGTACTACAGAGCCTTTAACTTTGGGTGCAGCCTGGACAGAATAAAACCTCTTCTGTAAGAGAGAGTACAAGTGTAAGATAAATTTGTATGTGTGTAAGCTTTTTTTTTTTAAACAACAGTAAGATAACATTTGCAACACCCTAAAAACATTTTAAAATACCACAAAAATTAAATACAAATCAGAAAACAAGTCACAGCCCACTTGGGAGTGCAATTCTTCATCCTGGAGTTGTATGTTTATTTATTTTTCACTTTATTAAATGTATCGACCATCTTTCTTACACAAAGTAACTCTGGAAGATTTACAATATTGGAAAAGATAAACATTTTACAAAAACCTATACACAATAGGAATTAAAAAAAAGATAAATAAGCAACCCAGCTAAAAGATAGGGAGGGGGGATCTGTTATTAGTCTGAAGGACAAATAACAGATCCCCCCCCACCTTCGCTCAGGTAAAAGATAGGGAAGGAGTAGGATGGGGGGGGAGATGGAATCTGTTATTAATCTAATTGACAAACTAATAACAGATTCCCCCTCCCCCCATCCTACTCTTTCCCTCCCTCCCTCCCTCCCTCCCTCCCTCCCTCCCTATCTTTTACCTGAGTTGCATTATTTATCTTTTTTATTAATTCCTATTGTTTAGGGTTTTGTTAAATGTGTATTTTTTTAATTGACAATCACACACCCCCAACTCCTTTGAATATATACCCTTCTCCTTGACCTGCTACCTTTCAACCTGCAGGCATTTCTCCTCCTCCCCACGGGCAGAGCCCGACGACCCCTCGACCTCCCTGCAGGGACGATCCAGCCCTGACAGCCTAACCAGGCCTCGGCCTCAGGTACCCAAAAGACCTTCGGCCTCCCTCCACCGACCCCTGAGAAGTAACAGCAGCAGCAACAGCCCGGCCGCCCCCTTCGCTGCAAGGACCCGGTCAAGGTCGCTTGCACGCCCGGGAAAGGCGGGGAGGAATCCCAGGCCCGGCTCCTTCCGCTTTGGCCGCTTCCCCCGGCCGGGTAAACTGACTCACGGGGATGCACCGCGCCAGCACCAGAAGAGGCTTCATCGCCGCCGAGGCCGCAAAACGCCGACCCTCCCCGGGAACGAAAGCAAGATGGCAGCGGCGGAAGCGAAAACGGAAACTGTCGGCCTTCCCAGCCTGCCCCGCGCGACCTTCCTTCCCGTCTTCTCTAGCGCCCAACCATAGAGCCGGGGACGTTCGAAGGTTACGTTGGGTTTTCTAACGAGGGAATAGGCGGCTAGAGCGTCTCGGCTTGAATAGAGGGGAGCATCGAGTCCAGGCAAGAACGTTCCTGTTCTAGGTGGCAGGTGGGCGGACTTTTCCACAGGCGGGGAGTTGGAAAGGACACCTGCCCCGCCCCCTTAGGCCCCGCCCCCTTTCCCAGGCAGTAAAGATTTTTTTCCTGTTCTCCTTTTTAAAACAATTACACCCGTTTTAGAAAGAAGACATCAAAGGAGGCAGCCGGCAGGATGAAAAAAAAAATCCCAGCATTTAGCCCGAGAGGGAAATAAAAAGATTTAATCCGGATTCAAACATTGGGCATCATCTCAGGTGAAAAAGCCTGGTGTAAGAATGGGCAGCAGAAGGGGGAAGAAAAGTCTGCAATGTGATCAAGAAGGAAAAAGTGTGTTCTTCTGTTTGGCGGCTTCGGCTACCACCCGCTCCAGGCTGCATTACTTCTCGTGGACTGCATCTCCCATCATCCCCAGACACTCCGGGCTGCATCTCCCATCAAATCAAATCAAATCAAATGTTTATTACGGTTATAGATCAGCCTAGTATATCCCATTCTCCACAGACGCTCCAGCCTGCATCACTCATCACCCCCGGATTGCATCTTCCATCATCCCCAGATACTCCAGCTGTATGTCCCATTATCCACAGAGGCCCCAGCCTGCATCTCCCATCCTCCCCAGACGCTCCAGCCTGCATCGCTCATCACCCCCAGATTGCATCTTCCATCATCCCCAGATACTCCAGCTGCATGTCCCATTATCCCCAGAGGCCCCTGCCTGCATCTCCCATCCTCCCCAGATACTCCAGCTGGATCTCCCATCATCCCCAGCCTGCTCCTTCCATCCCCCTCAGATGCCCGAGCCTGCCTTTTCCATCATCCCCAATACTCGGGGAAAGCGCAGCTGTTGCACGCCGGGCGAGGCTCCCCGGCGCCCGCTTGCAAAACGCAGTCGCGCCCCCTTCCCTTTCCTTCCCTTCCCCAGCGAGGGCGGGCAGAGCTCAGCGGCTGCTGGGCGCCCGCTAGGCGGTGCTGGGCGCTGCAGGAGGCGCGGGGCCATCCCTGGGCGGTGGCCGGGCGGGTGGGCGAGCCGCTGGACAGAGGCGCTTTCCCTCCGTCTCCGCCGCCAGCATGAGCTCCGCGCTGGGCTTCCTGGAGGCCGGGGCCGTGCAGAAGCACTGGCCCGCCTCCCACGCTCTCCTCTCGGCTCTCGAAGCCGCCTTGGTCGCCTTCTCCAGCGGTCCCGAGGGCGGCGTGGTGCAGCCGCTGCGCACCGTCCTCCCCATCCAGAAGCACAATGGGTAAGCCCCGAGGGGAGAGGAGGAGAGGGGAGGGGGCGTCTGGCAGAGCTCAAATATGGCCATCACTTGAGGACCAGCTTGTACCCCCTTCCCTTCTTTCTTCTCGGAAGCTTTTTAGGGGTCATGCCCGCTTACAGTGCAAAGGACGATGCCCTGACAACCAAGCTGGTGACCTTTTATGAGAATGTGTCTCCTTCGCATCAAGCCTCGGTCCTGTTGTTTGACCCAACAAATGGCACCCTCAAAGCGGTAAGTTCGGAGTCCTTCCACGGACAGCCCAGGCAGAATACTACACTTGCTCTTAGCCAAAAGGCCGAGAAGCCCAGGCAGGAAGGCATTGAGCACCTGAATTACCTGGAGAGCTCAAGTTGGTCCAGTGACGGGCAACAGGCTAGAGACTGGGAGTTCTAGTCCTGCCTTAGCCAGGAAACCCGGCTGGGTGACTTTGGGCCAATCACCAGGAGACGGTGAATTCTAGTCCCGTCTTACCCATGAAAGCCAGCTGGGTGACTTTGGGCCAATCACCAGGAGACGGTGAGTTCTAGTCCTGTCTTAGACATGAAAGCCGGCTGGGTGACCTTGGGCCCGTCCCTCTATCTCAGTCCAACCCACCTAGTGGTTATGGGGAAAACAGGAGGAGGAAGATGTACTGGAATATGGTCACTCCTTTGACCTATTTGTAAAAATAATAAAGGCAGGGTACAGATAAATAACATAAAATTAAGTTAAAAAATAAACGTCTTAGACCAGCCCATGTCAGCCAGTGGCCCGATTTGGTCTTCAGCAATGTTTTTTTAAACTTGACAACAGTAAGATATCTGGACTTCGATTCCCGGAAATTCTTAGCCAACCTTGGTTTATTCCAAGCTTTCCCACACTGATGCTTCCGGGGCAGTGTTTGGCTCTACCTTGGCAACTTTAGGAAGTATGGACTTCAACTCCCAGAATTCTCCAGCCAGCATGGCCAAGACCGTTGCATTTAAATCAGTCTGGCCAAGGCATTTAAATGTGTATTGCTTTGATATCACAGAGGGGCATTTTGGTTCATTTCAGGAAAGACATGTTTAATATTGTTTGGCATCATTAAATCATCTCAGTGGCAGCTTAATATAATTGTGCAAAGCAGGAGTCTTTAAACTTAGCCCTTTTATGACCTGTGGACTTCAACTCCCAGAATTTCTTAGCCAGGCACATGTGCCTGGCTGAGGAATTCTGGGAGTTGAAGTCCACAAGTCATAAAAGAGCCAAGTTTGAAGATCCCTGGTGCAAAGAATGCATCCTGGTCCAATTGATGTCGTTTATGATTAAATAGACATTGGAGAATAATGGACACCACTCCCTTCTTCCAATGGGTGTGTTAAATTTCAGCCTTTCACAAAACTTGCTTTTTATTTCTGTTTCTCGTGTTCTGGCCCTGTCTCTTGGTTGTTCTCCTTTCCAAAAGGTGATGGATGGCAACGTCATCACAGCCAAGCGTACGGCAGCTGTTTCGGCAATAGCTACCAAGGTGAGTTCCTTTAATAGACCAGATAAGGATCAGAAGTTGTTCAATTGTTATATGTTTATTTATTTGGAGAATTTATATGGCCTCCCACACATTCTGAGATGTTTAGCCCAAGGATCTTCACCCAACGTTTTCCAGGGATGTGGAGGACTATGCAGGAAATCCTCAATAACCATTTGCTAGATGGTTCAAAATTACAGCCTTGGAAGAAGTAACTGCACTCACCTTTACTCGTATTTACAACAAGCATCCTGTGGTCACGTGACCACAGTTTGTGACCTTTTTTGCCAATTTCCAGCCAAAAAAATGTCCATCGGAGAAGGTGGATTTGCATAACAATCGTCACAGTCATATTTAACAAGAATGCTCTTCTCTCTCTCTCTCTCTCTCTCTCTCTCTCTCTCTCTCTCTCTCTCTCTCCCTCCCTCCCTCCCTCCCTCCCTCCCTCCCTCCCTCCCTAATATGTGCATTCTCAGTATTTAATGCCTGCAAATTCAGAGGTCTTCTGCATTCTGGGAGCTGGTGTGCAGGCCTACAGCCACTACGAACTTTTCACAGAGCTGTTCTCATTTAAAGAGGTGGGCAATCTGATTTACACCAAAAAAAACCCCTGTCGTTTTAAACCATATGAAGCCATTTCTGGATAGCTTCAATCAGTGTTTTGCAAAAGTACAGGATAATAAAAACAAAGACAAATAGGCTGAAAAATAGTTTTTATCCCAGAGCTGTAACCATATTAAACACTACTATATAGTTCAGGGGTCTTCAAACTTGTGCCTGGCTGAGGAATTCTGGGAGTTGAAGTCCACAAGTCATCAAAGGCCCAAGTTTGAAGACCCCTGGTCTAGTGCAACGTTGAAGTGCACTATTAGGGGCAGCGCAGTGGTGAATAGAATGTGAAGGGTGTGTGTCTATAATGTATGTTTTTTACTTCCGGTTTTTACTTGTGTGTAGTGTGCACTGTGGACAGCGCTTAAATTCATTGTAAGATACACAACGACAATAAAAATTCTATTCTATTTCCCATGAAGGTTAGAATCTGGAATCGCACCAAGCAGAACGCGGAAAAATTTGCTCAGACGGTGAACGGACCAGTCCAGGTGTGTTCCTCAGTCCAGGAGGCTGTCCGCGGGGCCGATGTGATTGTCACTGTCACAATGGCAACTCAGCCCATCTTGCACGGAGAGTGGGTGAAACCCGGAGCCCACGTCAATGGTAAGGGATGCGTGGGATTTGATATTTTTTTCTGCAGTAAGATTACAATTCAGGCTTGTTTTCCTACTGAGCTAGTGTGTGTGGTATATTTTTCTTCAGCTGTGGGTTCGGATTGCCAAAGGACAAAAGAGGAAAGGATTTGAACAACTTATTAGATGATAATTCCTATTAACACGAGAAAAGAGCTTGGAAAGCAATGTTGTAGCCACCATTAACGGTAGGATGACCTACCGTTCAAGGATGTTGTTATGCATTAGCTGGGGCTGAGCTGGATGACCTCTCACGTTCTGCCACTTCTGTACTTGTTTTCTGTACTTGTAGTTCAGTAACCAGCTGAACTACAGACATAACAGCGGCTCTTGGACCATGTGCTAAGTTCGGTTAGCCTGAACTTTGATGAAGTTAATGGGTTGAGTAAACTCCAGCTATTTGGTGAGTTAATATAGAACTTAAATCTTGCAATGCAGGAAAAAAATAGAAAGTGTTGGATTTCTTCGCCTAATCTGTCTCTCTGTGCCTTCGTTCTCATCTGCACAAAAGGGATTTAAAGAGAGTCTTCCACTTCCACTTCCTAATTAGTTGATGTAAGATAGTGAGAACTCAAGTAGATAAGTCGTGTACTCTGAACATTAGATTTTGTGATGAATTGTGATAAAGGGAACGGGGGTTGTTTAAAATTTGGAAATTATAAATATTAAATGGGAAATGTAAATATTAACGGGAAATCAAAAACTGGGCAAAATTAAAAAGGATGTTGATTGTCTAAAAAGATTGAATGTTAAAACAACTAGGATATGTATAAACTAAAAATTATGGATAAATGCAAGAAAGGTATTTTTTATTGAATTGATATTAACAAGAATTGTACTAATTTAAAGATGAGACAGTAAATACTAAGGGGAAAAGAGGGGAAACATTTAATGTAACAGTTTGAGAGCTGTACTAAAGATATTTGTACTTTATGGAATTATTGACCGACTCAGCCGCCACGTTGCTTTTCCAGTGCTTAAATGTAAAACTAGAAAACCAATAACATTTTCTTTAAAAAAATAAGAGAGTATTCCACTTTACACTCACAATGAAGCCCCAAATTTCCATTCTTAACTGGGGCTCACTTTAGAACTGTTTTCTTGCCACAGCTGTTAGATAAATCACTGCAGTTGTTAAGTCAGCAACATGGTTGTTAAGTGAATCTGGCTACCCCATCGACTTTGCTTGTCAGAAGGTCACAAAAGGGGATCACATGAGCCTGGGACACTGAAACCGTCATAAGTACTTGCCAGCTGCCAAGCCTCTGAATTTTGATCATGTGCGCACGGGGATGCTGCAAGGATCCTATAAAAATGGGTCATAAGGCTCTTTTTTCAAGGTTGTCGTAACTTCAAACAGTTGCTAAATGAGAACTATCTGAGTAACCAGCTGCAGTACAGTTAGGCTTGTAGACCATGTGCCATTTTGTGTTTTAGCTGTAGGAGCCAGTCGGCCTGATTGGAGAGAACTAGATGACGATATAATGAGGAATTCGGTATTGTATGTCGATTCAAAAGAGGCAGCCCTGCGCGAATCAGGAGATGTTATTTTATCGGGGGTAAGGAAGTTGAATCCGTTCCCCCTGTTTTCCTTGTCTTTCTTCTTTAGCATTTTACTGGGGGCGGAGGGGGTTTTTCAAAGGGTACCTACCCCACGCCAGAGGGTTTGTCTAAAGCTGCAATCAGTGACTTAAGACTGTTGGCAGTTTGGAGGGCGCCTTCAGTGACCGAGCAATATTTGTTTCTCAGGCAAGCATTTTTGCAGAACTCGGCAAGGTGATCTTGGGAAGCAAACCAGCCCTGCGGGAGGAAACCACGGTGTTCAAATCACTGGGTAAGGATCAACCCCACGGAGCGGTTTGGTCTAGGGGTGAAGGCACCGGACTAAAATCAGGAGACAGTGAGTTCTAGTCCCGCCTTAGCCGTGAAAGCCGGCTGGGTGACTTTGGGCCAATCACCAGGAGATGGTGAGTTCTAGTCCAGCCTCAGCCATGAAAGCGAGCTAGGTGACTTTGGGCCAATCACAAGGATATTGAGAGTTCTAGTTCCACTTTAGGCCTGAAAGCTGGCTGGGTGACTTTGAGACAATCACCAGGAGATGGTGAATTCTAGTCCCTCCTTAAACATGAAAGCCAGCTGAGTGGGTGAGCTAATCACGAGGAGATTGAGAGTTCTAGTTCCACTTTAGGACTTGAAAGCTGGTTGGATGATTTGGGGCCAATCACCAGGAGATGGCGAGTTCTAGTCCCGCCATTGACATGAAAGCCAGTTTTGATTTGGGGCCAGTTGCTCTCTCTTGAACCCCCTCACCTCGCGGGGTTGTTGATGTGGGGAAAATGAGGAGGGAGGAGGAAGGAATATTAGATGTGTTCATCGCCTTGATAAGGTGAGATATCAGCTAAAAATATATATATATAATAAAGCCAGGGAGGCAACTCCTAAACAATGGAATGTCTCCATTCCTAGCTAGTTCAAAACCTGGATGTTTTGGTTGCTTATATTTTTCCTGAATGCTGGGAACAAGATGAGGGCTGTAGAAAAGGCTTCCTTTTAGCAGCCTCCGAGGACGGGACTGAAATGGTTACTCTAATCTTCATCTGCCAGACTAGGATGGTTGATGGTTTTGCTCCCCCCATTGTCTGAGATTTTTTGAATCTTTCAGGAATGGCCATTGAAGACACCGTGGCTGCAAAACTGGTCTTTGAATCTTGGTCAGCCAGTGGATGAAGGCACCACCTTCTGATCCTCTCAGGCCACAGAATAATAAAAGGAAGATCACGTCTGAACGAAAACGGCTGAGATTGCACAACAAACTGTCTTACTGTGTTACAATAGGAAGATAAATAGTAACGTAACAAAAGAATCAAATGATTTTTCTTGGCGTTTCTCAAGCCGGGCGACTTCAAGATGTGTGCACTTCAACTCCCAGAATTCCCCAGCCTGCCTGGAATTCTGGGAGTTGAAGTCCACATATCTTACAGCATGCTGGCTGGAGAATTCTGGGAGTTGAAGTCCATCCAACTTAAAGCATGCTGGCTGGGAAATTCTGGGAATTGAAGTCCACTCAAAACATGCTGGCTGAGGAATTCTGGGAGCTGAAGTCCACATATCTTACAGCATGCTGGCTGGGGAATTCTGGGAGCTGAAGTCCACATATCTTACAGCATGCTGGCTGGGGAATTCTGGGAGTTGACGTCCACCCTTCTTAAAGTTGCTTGAGCTTGAGAAACCACTGCTTTATCTAATTATTCTAATGTGACTCAGTCTTCTTTCCATGTATTTGGATAGTGACTTTAATTCAAAGTTTACAGCATCCTAAGGATAAACATAGACTGTCTCATCTCACAAAGGCTACATTGTTAGTTCTACTAAATCGTTCACTGTGTTAGCTCTAGTTTTATTTTTATTTGTTCAGAGATTCCAAAACTAAAATTTTACCTATTTGGGAGCCTGTCGATGACTTTTGTCTCAGATTTTCTCTCTGAAACCTGAAATAATAATTTTAGAATATAAGATTCTAGAATTTGATTTCTGCTTAACATGTAGCAATTTTCACATAAATTTTGCATTTAATGGCATACACTTTGCCTTTCTTTTTGTTACTGACAAAGAGACAATCAAGAACCGTAGGAAAATAATTGGCTAGAACTGGTTTTCAATGTGGTTTTAAGAAAATTCTGCCTTTTTTAAAAAAAAAAATAGAAAAAATGTTGGGGTCAATCAATATTGATGCAAAATGAGTGTCGATTTTATTTCCTGTACTGTAGTTTGTAACAACAATAAAGTTAACATTTCAGAAAATTACAATTCCCAAGCATTCATTTTTGTTGTTCAATACAAAGCGTCAACGATACTCAAAGGAGATTCTGGGCTTCGTTCGTTTGTGGCTATGTAGAGATTCTAGGCTGATGCCTCTTTTAACTCCACCCCTAAGTTCTGCCACTTCTCCTGGTACAGTGTTTAAACTCGAGGCTTCTTCATCCTGCTCTCCTGAATCAATGGCTACTTGGCAGTGTTGAAGCTCAGAGGTTGTAGGATTTGCACAGTGGTCATCTCTGGCTCCCTCTCATCCTCCTCAACCTTTATAAAGAAAGAGGAACTGTTTGTGGAGTGAGGTGCCAAACCATTGACCAGAAGCGCCGGCATTCTGGGTTTATAATTGGGTATCCTTGACTAGGCCTGGCTTTTCCAAAGCGAGCTTTCTTTTGCTGATTGCCTGGAGAACTTTCTTGCGGGGGCCTAGCTGCATCTGGATGCTCTGCAGATCTTCATCGGAACAAAGCATCAGGCTTTCCAAATCGATGTTTTCGCTCATCAGGATGGGGAGAAATTCGTGGAGATGATGAGCAACTAGGAACACTTCAAGGGGAGGAGCTTCTTCCTTGTCCTCATCCCACCCAACGGCTTCTTCTATCCACGAAACTTCAGGATCATCCTCATTGTCTGAATCACCAGGGGCCTCTTTGAGTTGAAAGAGCTCTGGAATTTGAAAGCCCCTGTCCTCTTTTTCGGGAAGCAAGGTCTCCGTCTTCTGGCTTCTAAAGACGAGGTTGCCAAGACCCGGGCGGTTGAAAATAGACCTGTGTCCTGACTCCTCCCCCTCTTCAGAAAAGCCGATTTTCTTTTGAAAGCCACACATCAGGTCTTCTAGATCCTTCTCACAAGGTGAACCCATCATGGCTGTTTCTCCAGCGACGCCCTCCTCCTCGGCTCCACTGCTCCTGGCGGTGCTGTTCTCCTCTTTCTTCCTGCTCCTCAGTTTGAAGGTGTCCTTCAACTGCTTGGGGACATCACTGAGGGAGCCGCTGGCGAAGAACTGAGAGACTTTTGTCCTGGTGGCGGAGCTGTGACTCAACTGGAGGGATCCTTTCTTGAACTGCTTGGTCATCTCCAACTGGTGCTTCTCCTGGCGTCTCTCACACAGGCGGACCTGTCGCTGCACCTCCTGTTGGGCCTGCGCCTTCAGACGGGCGACCCGCTTGGGGTTTTTGATGTTTTGCTCAGTGGCGGCCTTGTCAAGAATCTGGACGCATTGATACTGGCTCCGACTGGCCGCTGCGTCGAGGGGCGAGCGCATGTCGTTGTCGAGGGCGAAAATATTGGCGCCGAAATTGATCAGGAAGGAGACGCAGGGGGTGTGGCCGTTCGAAGCTGCATGGTGTAGCGGTGTGTTCCCCCAAATGTCACACACGTTCGGGTCGCCTCTGAAAGGACACAACAGAGAGGGCTCAGAGTCCCGTCATCTTCCTTGACAGCAGCTTTTTTTCCAAACAGAAGCCCTCCGGATTTACTGGACCCCCACTCCCATAATCCCTAGGCTAGTTAGCTGGGGATTATAGGGGCTGAAGTGCAACACATACATAGGTAGTCCTCAACTTGAGACCACAATGGAGCTCCAAATTTCCATGACTAAGCAAGGCAGTTGATAAGTGAGTCTGGCCCCATTTTATGACCTTGCTTGCCACAGTTGTTAAGAGCAACACTGCAGTTATTAAATGGATCAGTTGATCGTTAAAGGAATCTGCCTTCCCCCATTGCCTTTGCTTGTTGGAGGCCAGTGAGGACGGTTACAAATGATGATCACATGACCCCGGGAGAGTGCAACTGTCATAAGCACATGCCAGTTGCCGAGCCTCTGAATTTTGATCACATGACCCTGGGGATGCTGTAATAGTCCTAAGAGTGAAAACCAGTCATAAGTCCGTTTTTTTTGTTGTTGCTGTTGTAACTTTGGTCACTAAACCCACCGTTATAAGTCAAGGACTGACTACAGGCCACCAGGCTGGGGATGCTGACACAGAGACCAATTTGCACAGGTTATAAGAAAGCACAGAAGCTGATGTGTTATAATGGGTATTCTAGGCGGCCATTTTTTTCCATGCAAGTAAAACAACTAGCATCTCAAGAAGATAATTCAAAGTGAGCGCGTTCCCTGATAGGCTATATTTTTCAGTGCAAGGGTTTCGGTGCAAGGGGGGAAAGAGGATCCCCGTATCCCTGCAAAAGAACAACGGCAAAAATGTGTAGCTTTCCAAGGAGTCATTCTCTAAAGCCAGACGTCCGTTTCGGTCTCTTCTTTTGAATTTTAAATCCTGAGGCTTAGAGCAAGATTTCCTCAATAATGAGTTCCCATGGGGAAAATGCTAACTGATCGTCACTTAAATTGTCTCCTTTTTCCTCTCACTCTTCCAAAAAATAGGGGCATGTATCTATTTCTTTCCCTGTTTGTTTTTATTCTCCTAAGGGGGTGGTTAGGATTCACACACTGCCTGGATTCACACACTCAATGCAAACTGGCTCTGATTCCAGTTCTGGTCATCACGATATAAAAAAGATGTTGAGACTTTAGAAAACGTGCAGAGAAGAGCAACAAAGATGATTAGGGGACCGGAGGCTAAAACATAAGAAGAATAGTTGCAAGAATTGAGTATGTTTAGTTTAATGAAAAGAAGGACCAGGGGAGACACATTTAGCACTATTCCAGTATTTGAGAGGCTCCTACAAAGACAAAGGGGTCAAACTATTTTTCAAAGCACCAAAAGGCAAGACAAGAAACAATGGCTGGAAACTAACCAAGGAGAGAAGCAACCCTGAACTAAGGAGAAACTATTAGTTTATGTTCTATGTTCTAGAACTGCACCGCCATTCAACCCAATTCGCCTTTGAAAAAAAAAATTCCTGGAGGAACCCATATTTCAACCAATGAATTGGAAGGAGCCGAAGCCAGCTTCTCTGCCCAGCACCAGCTATAACATGGGTGTCAAACAACTGAACAGTTTAAAGGTCACATTTATTAGCTGCTGCATATGACAAGCAATTAAAAAAAGCACACCTGGTGTAAAAGCGAGCGGGGAATGGCGGTGCTTCCTCTTGCTGTTTGGTGAAGTTCTCACCACCCTCTTCCAACCTTGTGCTGTTTCCACAAATCCTGGAAGGCTTTTTAACCCGGGACTCTTACATGCAACCTTGCAAACGGCCTACGAGACAGGTGAGAATGCATGCCCACCAGGACGCGAAGGAGAACTTGGGGTTCAGCTATCCAGCATTTGGCCTAGACAGCTAAGCTTCCCCCCCCCCAAGTCTACGAGTTGGTTCACACAACACTTTTCTCAGCCTTACCAGGTAGTCCAGACAGAAAACATGACCAGCTGAGCTCATTTTACTTGATCACAAAGCCAAATTAACCAAATCTTGCAAGTGTGAAAGTACAGCTCCCCCCCCCCTTGTCACCTTTATAGCATGAGAAACAAGAGAGGGTCCCTCTTGTGTTTCTTTGGTCACCCATTAAAGGTAGTCCTTGACTTACAACTGTTTGCTTAGTGAGCGTTTGAACTTATAAAGGCGTTGAAAAAAGGGATTTATGACTGATTTTCATTCACAGCCGTTGCAGCATCCCCAGGGTCTCCTGATCAAAATTCGGATGCTTGGAAACTGACTCATATTTATGACGATTGCTGTGTCCCGTGATCCTCTTTTGTGATCCTCTAGTGAGCAAAGTCAATAGGGAAGCCAGATTCACTTCACAACCATGTTCCTAACTTAACAACCCCATTGATTCACTTCTCACGCTTAGCCTTAACAACTTATGCCCCAACCTAGCCCATTTGGGGCCATGCCACAATGGCTCTCCTTCTGCCCTCCCACCCATCTCAGCTCAGTCCCCCAAACCGGAAAGCTAACTTAGGTTGATTAGCAAAAGGGCTCTCCAAATTTAGGACTTGTGGACTTGAACTCCCAGAATTCCCCAGCCAGCCAGACCTCAAGGAGGATCTTTAAGCAACAGCTGCCTGCCGAATTTTGGGAGCTGAAATCCACAAGTCTTAACGATGGCAAGCTTGGAGACCCCTGGATTTGGCCACACTTCTCTCTTCTTCCCCGAAGATGATTTGGGGTCGGGAACCCCCAAGCCCGCTGCCACTCACCCCCTCCTGCAAACGATCTCCAGAGCTTCGACGTTGCCATGGTATGCCACCAGCAGAGTGGGGGTCATGCCATCTGCATCGGCGGTGTTGAGGTCCTTCCGAGTGGCTTCTTTGAGTAATTCCAGGTTGCCGTTCGCAGCTGCTCGGTGGAAACGAGTGGACATCTTCCTGTCTCCAGTTGGTTGGTGTCGGCCGTGGGAGGAAGAGGCCCAACCTGCCTACTCAGCCCCACGTTTCTCCCAAGGCTGTGGCTGCTTCGTCTCGGCAGACGGGACTCTTTGATGACATGGCAGATGACGAGGAAAGCAAAGGTTATTTATTCCCCGCAATTTATTTGCATAGGACATTTCATCTTCCAGAGAGCAGGCGGGTTGAAAAAATCTTACAGCCTTGGCTGCTGTTTAAAAAAAAGAAAGAAAAATGAAGGGAAGTGCGCTTTTGAAGACTTTTTATTTATTTCATCAATTTATACGGCCGCCCAATTCACACACAGGTGACTTACTAGGTGTATAACATCACCTGGGAGAGCCAGAAATGAGGAGGCTCTGAGTTCTAGTCCCACTCTTGGGCACGGAGATGGGGATGATTAAAAGAAAAAAATGTTTTATTTTTTTTACCTGTCGGGTGATTTGAGAATGCTGGCTGGGGGATTCTGGGAGCTGAAGTCCACTTCTCTTAAAGTTGCTAAGTCTGAAAAACATTGCGGTAAGTTATGGAGGGGAGGGGGAATTTGCTATATTTTTTTCTTCTTTTCATCTTTCATCACCGAGAAAAACCCGACCGGAGGATGCCAAATTTAGGACTGAAACCGAGAGATGAGAACACGCGACTTGCAAAGCCTTTAAGCCCCGCTCCAGGGAACGGCCTCGGTTGAAATGCGCGATGCCAGGGACAGCCCGGTCCCCCCGCACGGTTCCTCGCGAGTAAGTCAGTTGGCTTCCCTCCTGAGTCAGGGAAGTCGGTCTCCGTGAGATTTTCACAGCAACCCCACCTGGCCCAGGCTCTACAGCCCGTAGGGATCGGGCTAGATCCGCGTTTGGGAAGCCCCGACTCTTGAGCGCGCAATTCGGAGGGGTTTCAACTGAAATGTGAACGGGTTGCAAGCCTGCCTGAGGATCGGAGTTGCGCGCTCGCAAAATAGTGGCAGATAAAGCAAACCTCGAGGAAGGAAGGAAGGAAGGAAGGAAGGGGAGAGGGAGAAAGAGAGAGAGAAAGACAGACAGACAGAAAGACAGACTGACGGACGGAGGGAGGGAGGGAGGAAGGAAGGAAGGAAGGAGAAAGGGATGGAAAAAAGAGAAGGAAGGAAGAAGGAAGGAAGGAAGGAAAGCGGAGAGGGAGAGAAGAAAGAAAGAAAGAAAGAAAGAAAGAAAGAAAGAAAGAAAGAGGGAGGGAGGGAGGGAGGGAGGGAGGGAGGAAGGAAGGAGAAGGGGATAGAAAAAAGAGAAGGAAGGAAGGAAGGAAGGAAGGAAAGAAGCGGAGAGGGAGAGAAGAAAGAAAGAAAGAAAGAAAGAAAGAAAGAAAGAGAAGGAGGGAGGGAGGGAGGAAGGAAGGAAGGAAGGAAAGAAGCGGAGAGGGAGAGAAGAAAGAAAGAAAGAAAGAAAGAAAGAAAGAAAGAAAGAAAGAAAGAAAGAAAGAAAGAAAGAAAGAAAGAAAGAAAGAAAGAAAGAAAGAAAGAAAGAAAGACGCACCCACCCTTCCTCAGCCCACTCCAGCCTTAAGAGCAGAACGCGAGAACGTTGGGACCGGCATTGCGCTTGCGCGTGGAAAGCCGGTGCAGGCTATAAAAAAACTAATCGGGCGTCAAGCTGCGAGGTTAAACTTTCGCAGTTTGCTTTGCGCCGGGCGGATAGGATGGGGATGCCTGTGGGTTGGTCGTGTTACAATGCGTGGTAAACTTTTATTAATTCTCTTAGGCGTGGGAAGGGGCAGCCGGTGGTATGAATGCAGTCCAACTGAGTTTCTTTTTTCCTTTTCTTTCTGCTTTATAGGCTCTTCTTTGGCTACTTTCTAGGCAGTATTTTTACCTCCGGAGCTCTCGATTTCCCAGGTAATAGGAGGTTTTTTTTGTTTGGGATGGGATATTCCAGGAAGTCTCTCGGTTTCCCTCTGAAAAGTGTTGGGAACAAACTGGGTTTGTCCCTAAAAAGCTCAGGGTCTTTACCATAGTTTGTTTTTCCTGGGCAAGCGCTCAAAACAATGTGCCAAATCATCAATCCTGGTTTATAAACCCTGGCTAATCCTAAATTGAACAAACTACATGTGCTCTGGGCGCCGTGGATGCTAAGCCATGATGTATTGCAATCCAACCAGGGTACAACAGAGATGGGATAAATTGTCAGCTTGTCTTAAATCCCCCTCTTATTGGTTTGGTATTAATGTAAGGATGCTTTCCAACTGCTGGGGTGGTTAAACCAGAGATTAGTGCTTAGCCTATGATTTAAATGCAATAGTTATGGTTTAGACAGCAACCTGTAATTCAACTAGCCATGGTTTAGTGTGGTATCAATCTAGCCCATCATGTTCTCTCTGCTGTTTTCTTCTGAGCCCAATAATAAATAATATAGAGCAGAAATAGACAATAGAGGAGTAGATTTTATTTATTTATATCCTGCCCTTATTATGTTTAACAAATAACTTGAGCTGAAAATATCTAACGCACCTTCTTTTTCCCCAAAACAACAGCCCTGTGGGGTGGGTTGAGCCCAAAGTCACCCAATCGACTTTCATCCCTAAGGTGAGACTCATGGTGCTCTGGTTATTGGCTCAAACTCACCTAGTTGGTTTTCATGGCTAAGGCGGGACTAGAACTCGCAGCCTCCTGCCTTAACACCAGGCTAAAGTGGCATAGTATAAGGTTTCCTGCTTGAACAGGGGGTTGGACTAGAAGACCTCCAAGGCACCTTCCAACTCTGTTATTCTGGTAATAGAATAACAACAGAATAACAGAATAAAGGCTTTTGATAATATAGATCAGGGGCCTTCAAACTTGGCCCTTTTATGACTTGTGGACTTCAACTCCCAAAGCTGGCTGAGGAATTCTGGGAGTTGAAGTCCACAAGTCATAAAAGAGCCAAGTTTGAAGACCCCCCCCCGATATAGATAATATAGAATAGAAATTAGCCATGGCTTAATGTGACATCAATCCAGTTCTCCTTGCCCTCTTTCTCTGAACCCTTAAAATATGAGGGTATGTCCTGGTATCTCCAGGTGGGTCTGTTCTTCAAGCCAAACACCACTAGTTAATATATAGAGCAGAAATAGAAATTATTCTAGATTGACGGTTTGGGTTGGAGAACTTTGATCAACGTAGGCTTCATTACCTGCTGAGCAACATCTTCAACACTTTGATCTTGGAAAAGGGAAATCTGTTAGCTAGTTACAGGAGAGTCTTCTCCAGCTGGTGTGACTTGACATGGCTGGCTGGCTGGCTGGGGAATTGTGGGAGCTGAAGTCCACCAGTTTCAAGATTGCGATGGTTGGTCGTCCCTGGCCTAATGGATAAATGTGTCCCAGGGAGATTTTGCTGTAAGTAAAGCTCAAACTCTCTGATCCTACCTCCATCCGTTTTACGGAGAAGGGATTTCAAGAAAAGGTGGGCATATATTTTGTGACAGGTACGGTGTCTTGCCAGGATGACCCGTGGCGAATTTGGCTGCCAAAGGAAGTTGCCAACTCGAGCTCCTGGGACATAGACATTCTCGGTACGTTTGATGATGCTTCTTCAGCGATTTTGTCTCTTTTTGAGTTTGAATTGATGCTTTTGGGAATGGATCGTGTCTAACCCTTTGGCTGGTTTTTCTGTAGATGGCAGCGGGGATGACATGGAAGACTGTCGTTATCAAATTGACTACGGAAAGCAAGTGTTGATGGTTGGGCACCTGAACTGTACTGAAATGGAGGTAGTCCTCACTTTATAACAGTTCATTTAGTGACCGTTCGAAATTACAGCGGTGCTGAAAATGGTAGCTTCTGACCGTTTTTCCCACAAACGTTGCAACATCCCCAGGGTCATGTGATTAAAATTCAGATGCTTGACAACTGACTCATAGTTACGACGGGCGCAGTGTCCCGGAGTCACGTGATCCTCTTTTGTTACCTGAGCAGCAAAGTCGGAAGATTTACTTAACCACCGGCTGGCTAACTTAACCACCGCAGTGATTCCATTAACGCCTGTGACGAGAAAGGTCGTAAAATGGGGCAAAACTCGCTTGTCTCACTTTACAGCCAAAATTTTGGCCTCGACTGTGGTTGTAAGTCAGGACAACCTGTCATATAGATATACTGGCTGGCTGAGGAATCCTGGGAGTTGAAGTCGCCACATCTTAAAGCTGCCACGTTTGAAAAACACTGCTCTAAAGCAGAGGTCTCCAAACGTGGCAACTTTAAGGCTTGTGGACTTCAACTCCCAGAATTCCCCAGCCAGCATGGGGAACTGAATGGTGTTGAGTCTTAAAATTTGGAGAGCCCCAGTCTAAAGGATAAAGGGGTTGAACTGATCAAGGAGGGAACCAACTTAGAACTAAGCAGAATTTTTTTGACAGTTAAAACCATTAACCAGTGGAACAACTTACCTCCAGAAGTTGTGGGTGCTCCATCACTGGAGGTTTTGAAGAAGAGATTGGATAACCACCTGTCTGAAATGGTGTAGGGTCTCCCGCATGAGCAGGGGGTTGGACTAGAAGACCTCCAAGGTCCCTTCCAACTCTGTTATTCTGTTAAAAGGCAGAATAGGTTAAAAAAAAAAGGGCTAATTTTCAGAGCTCAGCCAAAATCGAACAAACTAAAACGATGGTGTAACTTTGTGGACCGGCCCAAATGCAAAAACATAAATTTGTTGGGCTTGCGTGAATTATTAACTCTTCCAGTAAAAGAAAGGATCTTGAAATTGCTCTTCGGGAATTCACAGCTTCCTCTAAAGGCAATCTCTCTGCCTTTTTTCATTCCCAGGATAACAAGCAACGCCTGAGATTTAGACTGCAGTTCAACAATACAGAGGGGGTTCGGCCCCAGAATGAAACTTACAGTGTTGACTGTGACACCCTCCAAGCTGACGAAGCGTTTTCCGATGAGGGCTTCACCAGCGCTACAAACTGCACCAAAAACTCCATGGCAGTAAGTAATAATAATAATAGTAAAGTTGGAAGTGAGCTTGGAGGTCATCTAGTCCAACCCCCTGCTCAGGCAGGAAACCTATACCATTTCGGACAAATGGCTGTCCAGCCTCTTCTTAAAAACCTCCAGTGATGGAGCATTCACCGCTTCTGGAGGCAGGTTGTTCCACTGGTTAATTGTTCTAATTGTCAGGAAGTTTCTCTTTAGTTCCAGGTTGCTTCTCTCCTTGATGAGTTTCCACCCGATGCTTCTTGTCCTGCCTTCAGGTGCTTTGAAAAATAGCTTGATTCCCTCTTCTTTGGGGCAGCCCCTGAGATATTGGAACACTGCTATCATTTCACCCCCGCCCTTCATTAAATTTGACTTGCTCAATTCCAGCAACCGTTCCTTATATGTTTTAGCCTCCAGTCCCCTGATCATCTTTGTTGCTCTTCTCTGTACTCTTTCTAGAGTCTCAACATCTTTTTTACATTGCGGTGACCAAAACTGGATGCCGTATTCCAAGTGTGGCCTTACCAAGGCATTGTGAAGTGGTATTAATACTTCACGTGATCTTGATTCTATCCCTCTGTTAAGTGTCGAGGACAGGGTTGGCCGAGAAGCTTAAATGCTGCCGAAACAACTAGACACAGAGGTTTTTTTTCCCCCTTGTGCCTAATTCCCATGTTCTGTCTTCGGTGTATTTACCCACATGGTATGGCTGTATTACTTTTATCATTCTCTTCTTTTTTATTACCTTCTCTTATGATGGTGATGATTATTACCTTCTCTTATTATGATTATTATTCTGTTGTTTTGCATGTAGACAGCTCCTGCACTGGAGACAAATTCCTTGTGTGTCTAATCTAGGATCTTCAAACTTGGCCCTTTGATGACTTGTGGACTTCAACTCCCAGAATTCCTCGTGCCTGGCTGAGGAATTCTGGGAGTTGGACCACAAGTCATAAAAGGGCCAAGTTTGAAGACCCCCAGTCTAATCCCACTTGGCCAAATAAAGTCTTCTCTTCTGCTTCTCTTTCGCCATCATTCCTTTTCCTTTTTCTTCTCATCCACCACCATCTTTCTTCTGCAGCATTCCTTCCCTTTCTCTCTCTTTTCTCTCTCTTCCATTCTTCTCTTCCACTTCTCTGTATTCTATTCTGTTTTCTATTCTGTTTTGTGTTCATTGCGTGGCCTACATCTTCTATTGTACAGATAGTCCTCGACTTATAGGCATGAAAGCCACCAGAACAGTCCTCATTTAGTGACTGTTCAAACGTTCAACGCGATGATTTTCAAAGCATTGCACTGTTTTGCTATTCATGCTCATATCCAAATATCTTCCACTTATAGGTGACATTCCCAAGGATGATTCCCAGTTTTCGAGATGAACTCACGGTACGTAATCCAACTTTCTCAGGCAAGCTAGTTTAATCGCATTTACCAATAAAATAACACTAGGGAAAAAAAATCCATAATCAGCCCATGTGACTGGCTCACACACTATAGCAGTGATTTATTTGATTGCGGTACAGCCTGTGGTTTAATCACAGCGATTGACACAAACTGCGGTTTAGTTGGGAAAATCTGTCTCCCATTATTTTAATTAGACTTGCTGGTGTTTTTTTTTTTAAAGCCTTCAAAATGTATGAGTTGGCTGATAACGAAAGCAGACAAATTAAGTCTTTTCTTTTTTTTAGACTGCTGTTTGGAGATTTAAAATTTTAGAAGGCGTACTTCTGCACAGATGGAGATTTTTTTTCAACATCTCCCTGGATCCTCTTAAATAAACATCTGGGTTTTCTTTTTAAAATGGTGTCTGAATTTGGAGACCAAATTCTGAAATGTGGTTAGTGCAACCCTGGGGTGGTCTAGCATCTTTCTTAACGTTGTGGCTTTTTTTGTAGGGTGTCCGGCCTGAAATGGCGCCTCAAGTGGTGTCTGGAATGGAGTGGGTCGTATCCATCGAGCACAATGGCCGGACCCACCATATGAATCTCAGACAGGCGATTCAACAGGGCTACACGTTCCTTTCCAATGTCAATGACGTCATCATCCAAGTCCCGTTTAATGCTAGAGGAGTCACAGTTTACAAGGTGCAAGAAATAAGAAATATAGCTATGGGCGCCAGGGTAGCCAATTCCCCAAATTTGGTGTTAGTTCTCCAAGACTGAGCTTTGGAGAAAATGTTTTATTGTTAATGACTGATGGATGGACGACAGTCTTATTTAGTTGAGCAATGTTTTAGATTAGGCAGCCTATACATTGATCGGTTTTTATCCTGTCTTTATTTATAAATAATTCCAGGCAGCAAACATACCTAATATTCCTTCCTCCTATTTTTATCCACCCCAACAATCCTATGAGGTGGGTTGGGCTCAGAGAAGGACTGGCCCAGAGTCTCCCAGGTGGCTTTCATGCCTAAGGTGGTACTAGAATTCACCATCTCCTGGTGATTGTTCCAAAGTCACCGATCTGGTTTTCATGCCCAACTGTATCAATGCGCTGTGAGATAATGGTGATGATATAGTGATGTAGGGGTTGGCATCCTTTCCCTTTAATGCAGTGGTTCTCAACCTTTTTAATGCCGCAACCCCCAACCGGTCGTAAGTCGAGGACTACTCAACCGGTCGTAAGTCGAGGACTACTCAACTGGTGCAGCACCGTTTGCAGAATGGGTCTTTTGGCAGGCTCAGCAGGGCAGAGACAGCCTGGACAATTCCTATTGGCTTTTGAAAGCCAATAGAATTAGACTCTATTCAAGAGAGTCTATTCTATTGGCTTTCAAAAGCCAATAGAATAAAAGGAAGTAGCACAGCTAAGGAAAAGGGGGAAAAAAATGGCGGACTACGTTGTTTGACGACCCCCGTGAAATGGTCGTTCGACCCCAAATGGGGTCCCGACCCACAGGTTGAGAACCACTGCTTTAATGGTTGGAGGAAGTGTCAAGACCTTCTTTGAGGCTGGATATTGGCATAAGATGGTTTCCAGAAGGTTAAAAGCATGAACTGTCACTACCTGTCTTACAGCAAGATGACTACGTGTTGTACACAATAGCTATCAAGCTAACGTATGGGCCTCCAGAGCAGCGTCTGACCCTGGAATCGAGAATGATCTGCGCCCCAGGTGAAAACCTTGTTTCCAACATTCTGCTTCTAAATCTAAATTCTAAATCTCCACAACTTGGAAGAAACATCTTCAATCTCTCCCCAACTTTTCAGGCCCAGCGGTCTGCAATTCAACCCACATGACGATGATTCTCCCAGCTTTCCCAGGAAAATTGACAGCTATCAGTCTGAATGAGAAGAACATTCCCGTACACCAAATTCAAGCCAACGGCATTGGTGTGGACACCAGAAGTGGAGTGAAGTTGTATATTCCCAAAAGACTTCTAAACACTCGGGCAAGTTCCTTTGGCTGGAGGATGAAAATTCTTGAGGCAAAGGTTGGGGTGGTTTGCTGGCTGGGGAATTCTGGGAGTTGAAGTCCACAAGTCATAAACTTGCCCAGGTTGGACCCTCCTGATCTAAAGGTACAAGAGCTGGCTGGGGAATTCTGGGAGTTGAAGTCCACAAGTCATAAACTTGCCCAGGTTGGACCCTCCTGATCTAAAGGTACAAGAGCTGGCTGGGGAATTCTGGGAGTTGAAGTCCACAAGTCATAAACTTGCCCAGGTTGGACCCTCCTGATCTAAAGGTACAAGAGCTGGCTGGGGAATTCTGGGAGTTGAAGTCCACAAGTCATAAACTTGCCCAGGTTGGACCCTCCTGATCTAAAGGTACAAGAGCTGGCTGGGGAATTCTGGGAGTTGAAGTCCACAAGTCATAAACTTGCCCAGGTTGGACGCTCCTGATCTAAAGGTACAAGAGCTGGCTGGGGAATTCTGGGAGTTGAAGTCCACAAGTCATAAACTTGCCCAGGTTGGACCCTCCTGATCTAAAGGTACAAGAGCTGGCTGGGAATTGAAGCCCAGAGTTGAATAACAGTGTCCTAGAGTGTATCCCAGGAGGTTCATCTGTCTTTAAGTTGAAACTCTGATGAAAGCAATGGAATAATAATATGTCTGATTTTCCAGGCCTACAGAGATCAGGATTGCTCAGGTTTTCAGTTGTATGCTGCATCCTTGACCTTGAATTTTGACTACCATGGAGAAATAGCCACCATGGTTAGCTACCCGGAGTGTCCTTGTGAACAAAATGCACCAATAGGTAAGGAATTTAACATTGCTCTTAAAAAAAATAGATCTTCAAATATGGCCTGTGAAGGTCTAAACCTCCTATTGTAGTTATGAACTAACTTCCTTCTGACCTCCCAATGCAGAGAATATGCATCTGTCTATTGTAACGGACATAAAATGCACACACAACTTTCAGCCTTCATTCACACATTCCTCCGACCAACAAAATGACATGTACTTGGTTCTCCTGTTGCATTTAGACCCGTTAGCAATTTCCCCCTCCCTTTTTCTTCCCTTCTCCAGTGAAAAAAACGAGAGCGAAATCTATAATTTTGGATCTGCTTTGGATGCTGGGGTTTTGTGTTTAACAACTAAGAGTGAAGACTATCTGTATTGAAATGTGTTAAATAAGTCATAAGTCTCGTTGGGGAGATCCATCATAACTTTGAATGGTTACTAAATAAGGATTATCTGCACTAAAATATGTCCAATATGTCATAAGTCTCTCTGGGAAGGTCCATTGTAATGTCAACTGGTACAGAGGACCATCTGTACTAAGAAAAAAAGGGACAAAATCAGACAGACATTGTTGATGGTCCCTAGTTCAGGGGTCCCCAACCCCCAGTCTGTAGACCAGTACTGGGCCATAGCCTGCCAGCAACCTATCCACACAGACAAGCAAAGCCCCATCCACAGGATGCAGGCAGCACACAAAACCACGTACCTTCCGGTCCGCAGAAAAATCTCTCTCCACGGAACCGGTCCCTGGTACCCACAAGGTTGGGGACCTCTGCCCTAGTTGGGTAATGAAACACCTGTAACCAACTAACCCACCTCAAAGAGGACCCCAAATTTCCCCCATTCCAGCCTGAGCTATAGAGATTTACCTCAGTTGAACTCCTTGTGGCTTAGCCTGGGGTGCGGCTTAATCCCCAACTTCCTTACAGTCACCGTATGCACTCAAGATGGACACATGGATTTTGAGATCACAAGCAGCAGTACGAAACCGGACTTAAACCTGGATACCCTCAGGCTCAGGGACCCAACCTGTGGGCCTGTCTCCTGGTCGGCTTCGAAAGATCGAGTCCACTTCCGTATACCCCTGAATGGTTGCGGGACCACGATAAAGGTGAGCCCTTTCCTCAGCTGAACCCTCCGTTGGTTCTCCTGCTTCACCGACACAGGTGGTCCTTGAACGATGAGCACAGTTGAACCCCCAAAAGTTTTGTTGCTGAGGCAGATGTTTGTTAAGTGAGTTTTGCCTCCTTTCACAATCTTCCTCGCCACAAATTGTTAAGTGAATCACCGCAATAATTAAGTTAGTAACACGGTTCTTAAGTGAATCTTGCTGTTTGTGATTTCAGGACTATCTGTAGCCTTTTGCTCTTCCAGGTTGTCGGTGAGAAGATGGTTTATGAAAACGAAGTGAGCTCCTTTTGGCCAGATCAGCCTCCACGCTGGATCTCCAGAGACAGCGATTTCAGGTGAAGCCGACTTGGCCTTTTGTGCGGAGATAAAAACACCTTCATTTTTTTTGTTGGTATTTGTGCTTTTCCAATTCATGCGCAACTCCAGCAAAATTAGCCTGGGGTTTCGGAGACCGTGGTTAGGATTGCCACGCTTTTGCAATAGGCACTGATGATAAGGGCAATAAAAATTTGATTTTGCAGATCTGCCCACCCTCTGTTCAGTAACTTTGGAAGCGACAGAGAAAATTTGAATTCTGACTTGATCACGCCGTGCAAAGTTCACTGTTTCTAAACCGGTGCAGACAATGCTGATAGAGTTTATGCCATTGACGTAAATAATGTAACATTGATCGGTCAATCAGAATAGAGAATAGAGCTGGAAGGGACCTTGGAGGTCTTCTAGTCCAACCCTCTGCTCAAGCAGGAAACCCTATACCCATTTCAGAAAGGTGACTGCCCAGCCTCTTCTTAAAAGCCTCCAGTGATGGTGCACCCACAACTTCTGGTGGCAAGCTGTTCCACTGGTTAATTGTTCTCACTGTTAGGAAGTTTCTCCTTAATTTCAGGCTGCTTCTCTCCTTGATTAGTTTCCATCCATTGTTTCTTGTCCTGCCTTCTGGTGCTTTGGAGAATAGCTTGACTCCCTCTTCTTTGGGGCTGCCCCTCAAATACTGGAAAACTGCTATCAGGAAACCCGTAGTCCTTCTTTTCTCTAAACTGGCCATACCCATTTTCCACAACCATATGTTATATAGCTATATAATTCTGGATTTAATGAATGTCCTCTCCTGGTTGATTCAAGACTGAAAGCTCCACCTGCTGCTTAAAAATCGTCCCTTGGTTGATACGTCTGATTTGTAAGTGGCAATTTCTGGAATCAATCCTTCTGCATTTCCAGTTAGGATTTTCATTTAATGCCGAGTTTTTGTGCTGCTGTGTATATCCTGCATTTGAACACACGCTAATCTTTATTGATAGACACGGCGGCTGGCTTTTATTTAACCCCCTAAGCCGAAATTCAAATTATGACAGGGTGATGTGCAAACTCAGTCACATAAGCAATAGGCTAACGTTCTTCAAATGCAAGAGGGTAAGAATAATAGAATAATAGAGATTTTCATTCCTTTTTTTCCCCCTCAATGGACTATGAAAAGAGATACCACAGATCTGAGTGGGTGGTTAAGAAGAGACCTTTAGACTAAGGCAACATTAGAAGACATGAAACTCTGGATGAATCTTGGCAGGGCAATAAAATCTTTGAATGCAAATAAATGATTCTTCCCTTCCACGGGTAGATTACAGGCAGTCAATAGAATAGAATAGAGAATAGAAAATAGAATAGAAAATAGAACAGAACAGAACAGAGCTGGAAGGGACCCTGGAGGTCTTCTAGTCCAGCCCCCTGCTCAAGCAGGAGAACCTACACCATCTCAGACAGGTGATTGTCTAGTCTTTTCTTAAAAATCTCCAGTGATGGAGCGCCCGTGATTTCTGGAGGCAACTTCTGTTCCACTAGTTAATTGTCCTCACTGTCAGGAAGTTTCTCCTTAATTCCAGGTTGCTTCTCTTCTTTAATCAGTTTCCAATCATTGTTTCTCGTCCTTCCCTCTGGTGCTTTGGTGAACAACCTGGCCCCCTCTGCCTTGTGGCAGCCCCTCAGATACTGGAAGACTGCTATCATGTCTCCCCCATTTCTTCTTTTCTTTAAACTATCCAAACCCGCAGCTGTTCTTTGTATGTTTTAGTCTCCAGGCCTTGGATCATCTTAGTTGCTCTTCTCTGATTTTTTTCCAAACTCTTCAACCTCTTTTTTGTGATACGGTGACCAAAACTGGTTTCAGTATTCCAGAAGGGACCTCCCCCCCAGTTCACTGGGAAGTAAAGAGAAGGGGGGGAGATGTACTTTCATACTTGCAAGATAAGCTTACAATAAAGGTGGCGTTACAGCTCAGGTTTTTGGTTTCTTATCTGGACTAACTCAAAGGGCTGACATTACTTGACTCTTCTTCCAGGTTGACCGTGGTTTGTTCGTACAAGAGTGCTGATACTTCCTTGAATGTCAAGATAAACACTCTTCCTCCTCCTGATCCTGTAATCAACCAGGGTCCGCTTTCTCTTCTTCTTCTCATTTATCCAGGTGAGGGGTTTTAATTTGTGGCTAGGTGGTGGGAGATATTTTTTCGTGGTGTTGTGGAAAAACCACGATACTTACATCAGAAGACAAGATCACGAAGGGTTGGAGAAAACAGGTTTATTTGTGCACAATGGTTCAGAGCATTAGCATGACAGATTCTGAACCCTGAGTTACTCCCAGGGTGTCATTTTTATACAGCTTGCCGCCCACGTTTAACCTAATGGATGACTTCTTATCTACTTTTAACACACTAAAAGAGAGAAGTTCATATCTTGAGACCACACACACATAGGAAAAAGGGAGGTTTATACAATGTGCAGAAAACCACACTCCCCTACACGTGTAATATCTTACACCATTTGTGACTTTCGGTTGGCACTTCTTGTAAAAATGTTTCTTCATAGAATTGCACACAGGTCATCACACCCAGCCAGTTTATAGCATTAGTTAATGCTTTCAAAACATCACCTCTGTTAATTAAAATATAATTCAAAAGTACTTTATCATTTCTCTTAATGGCAATTTTTCATCTACCTCAGTGGCAGTTTTACATCTTATTACATCCAGTATCTAGAGCAGTGTCTCTCGACCTTGGCAACGTTAAGATAAGTAGACTTCTCAGTTATCCAGATCATGGTTGCTCCAAAGGTACTTTTTCAGGAAGCAACTGGACTTTCTTGTTTTTCTTTGAAGACGTTTCGCTTCTCATCCAAGAAGCTTCTTCAGCTCTGACCGGATGGTGGGGAATGGAAGGATTTCTATTCCTTGCTGGTCATTTGCATTCTTTTAGAGAGTTGTTGAGGCCACTTGAGGATTATCTGTGTCCTCAGGGTGACCTGAGTGGTGCAAATGGGTGTGGAGCCTTCTTGGGATTGTTGAAAAGACTGTGTTGTAGACTGGAGATGATGTCGTATCTCACATTACACAAGCTGGCTAGCGGTTAAACTATTACCTTGACGTGAGAGAAATGGAGAAAAAGAGGATTTTAGATGCGTGGAACAACCGAATTCCTCAGCTGAAGCACTGAGGCGTTTTGAACTGGGATTTAAGATGCTGGACTATCAAACGACAACCTGGAAGCAAAATCTTGACGCGACTGAATGGGTTGTGTGAATGCTGGCAACCTGGTCAAGAACAGCAGCTCCAGATACGGTTTCTTGTTTTGCAGATCAGTTCTACGCAGTTCCTTACAGCGACGACCAATATCCAATTGTGAAATACCTGCGACAGCCCATTTTCCTGGAGGTTCAAGTGCTCAACCGAAATGACCCAAACATCCATTTAATGCTGGAGAACTGCTGGGCTACCCTGTCCTTAGAGCCGGCTTCTTTGCCACGCTGGAACATTGTAGTTGATGGGTTAAGTGGCCTTTATTTTCTTTATTTTTATTCACGTCCTTATTTGTATCCCGCCTTTATTATTTTTACAAAACAACTCATATTTGTAAACACACCCAACACACTTTCTTCCTCCTGTTTTCCCCACAACAACCACCTTGTGAGGTGGGTTGGGCTGAAAGAAAGGGGACTGGCCCGAAGTCACCCAGCTGGCTTTTATGCCTAAGGTGGGACTAGAACTCACAGTCACCTGATGATTGGCCCAAAGTCACTCAACTGGTTTTCATGCCTAAGGCAGAACTGGAACTCACCGTCTCCTGGTGATTGGTCCAAAGTCACCCAGCTGGCTTTCATGGCTAAGGTTGGACTAGATCTCACTATCTCCTGGTGATTGGCCCAAAATCACTCAGCTGGTTTTCATGGCTAAGACAGAACTAGAACTCACAATCTCCCAGTTTTTAGCCTGGTGTCTTAGCCACTAGACTAAACGGGCACTCTGGATAAGGTTTATATTGTCTAAAGCAGTGGTTCTCAACCTTTTTAATGCCGCGACCCCCAACCGGTCGTAAGTCGAGGACTACTCAACTGGTGCAGCACTGTTTGCAGAATGGGACTTTTGGCGGGCTCAGCAGGTAAGAGACAGCCTGGACAATTCCTATTGGCTTTTGAAAGCCAATAGAATTAGACTCTATTCAAGAGAGCCTATTCTATTGGCTTTCAAAAGCCAACAGAATAAAAGGGAGCAGCACAGCTAAGGAAAAGGGGGAAAAAAATGGTGGACTGCGTTGTTTGGTGACCCCCGTGAAATGGTCGTTCGATCCCAAATGGGGTCCCGACCCACAGGTTGAGAACCACTGGTCTAAAGGAAGGCATTGCATTTCTACCTGATCCAATGAAGGAACACCAGTGTGAATGCAGCTGGAGAACTATCCATTAGCAGAGTGCGCATTTGTGGAGTTCGTTGTACAAACCTTGTGCAAAAAAGTTGCATTCATTATGTAACCACAGATTACGCAGCTCTATTTTGTAATAATACCGCCAGTCCCTGCAGACAGGATTTATTTTATTTTATTATTTTTGCAAAAATATACTGCTCTACTGGTCGCTTCTAATCCCTCCCTGCAGATTTTCCAAGAGACAAATGAACATTTTATTAAGGCTGATTTGCTTCTTTCCATAGATGTGAATACGAACTTGACAATTACAAAACCGTCTTCCACCCAGTCGGCCCGGCGGTCAGTTACGCTAATTTCCGCCAAAGGTTTGAAGTGAAGGCATTCGCTTTTGTCTCCAATGGCGAAGCTTTGTCCAACCTGGTGAGTTGCCGCTGGAAATCCTTGCAAGATTGATTTCTGCCTGCCGGAACTAGATGTCAACGCTGCTAACATCAGATGTTCTTGCTTTGACAACATATGGAGATGCAGCCATTTTCCTTCTTATGTTTTACTCTTAGAATTAGAGTTGGAATTAGATGATACTGGGGGGGGGAATGTGCATGGGAGACATAACAATATTGAAATAGTGTTTTTTAAATAAGAGATGATAAGAAATGGCGGATTGGAGAACTGGAGGGAAAGCCTGCATTTCAAGCTAATTGGGGAATGTGATTTATGACTGTTAATTAGAGGAGGGTATTGTGCTTGATACTATGTGCTCAGGGGAGGGGAATCCAGATTTTGGCTTTGCTATGTATGTGCCAATGCTGTGCTACTCGAATAAAGATTCTTTAAGGTAAACAAGGCCTCGAAGTTCTTTGAAGAGTTTCATCTGTCGGAACCATGACATTAAGCCAAAATCTGGATTCCCCTCCCCTGAGCACTGAAGCAGTAATTGGAAAATTGCATCTGTAATTTAACTTGCCCATGTAGAACCCCCCAATTATTCTTGGTGGAGGTCCCCAAACCTCTCATTACTAGAAGATCCATTTGCATGATTGCTGAAAATGACTAATGGAGTTTGCTATTCTTTTATAGCAGAAAATTGAATACAGGTCGTCCTCAATTTATAATCATTTGTTTAGCAGCCAAAGTTACAAGGCCACTGAAAAAAGTGACAATTTTCCACACTTACAACCGCTGCAACATCACGTGATCAAAGTTTGGATCCTTGGCAACTGATTCATATTTATGATGGCCTCAGCGTCCCGGGGTCATGTGATCCCCTTTTGAGACCTGACAAGTAAAGTCTATTCACTTAACAGCCAGGTTACTAACTGAACAACTGCAGTGCTTCACTTAACAACTCTGGGCAAGAAAGGCCGTAAAATGGGGCAAAACTCACTGAACAGCTGTCTCACTCAGGAACGGAAATTTAAGTTGAGGACTACCTGTATAGCAGTTAGTGAATTATTTGTTCAGCTTTATTCTTGGGGTGGGGGGAGCTGCGTAAATTTATTGTAAATGTGGAGCACCCCTGCTCTGTCTTTTCCCTCTTAGTTGATCCACAGGAGCTGGTGGGCTGACAACTCTCCTTCCCTCTTCCCTAGGTGTATTTCCATTGCAGTGTTATCATCTGTGATAGACAACGTCCAGATTCTCCTCTGTGTTCCTCTGGATGTCCTCGTCTTTCCAGGAAACGCCGAGGTAAGGGGGGTTCATCCTGAAAGGACTTTGTTGAGATAAAAGCCAAAAAGGGACACATCTGAAGAATTCAAATGTCCGGCTAAGCTAGGGCGGCCTTCAATGCCAACCTGATTTCTTAGTGTTTCTCTACCTTGGCCCCTTTAAAATAGGTGGACTTCCGCTCCCAGAATTCCCCAGCCAGCATGGTAGTGGCAGATATTTCTCTGCTAAGGTGCAAAGAAAAAAATATCTGCTGAGGACTCCATGTGGTGTCAGGAAGGGCATCCAGTCAGTAAATGCTCAGTTCCATCCAGTAGTCCCTACTCTGTTCTGAATTGAGGGATTACAGGGTCATAAAAGATGATAGATAGATAGATAGATAGATAGATAGATAGATAGATAGATAGATAGATAGATAGATAGATAGATAGATAGATAGATAGAGGGAGGGAGGGAGGGAGGGAGGGAGGGAGGGAGGGAGGGAGGGATAGATGGATATATAGATAGATGGAGAGATGGAGAGAGACAGATGGAGAGACAGATAGATAGATGCCAAATCTCAGAATCCCTAAGAATTCTGGGAGATGAAGTCCCCTCATACTAAAAGGTGATTTTTGCGGGGTGGGGTGGGGGGGGTTAGTAATTCAAGGCAACAAATCATAATTTTCTGCCTGCAGAAGAAGCAACGGAAAAGACTGCAGTGGTGACTCTTCCGCACGCTGTCATTTTGGTACCGGAGGAGCAATTTAAGATGCAAGGTACGTACTTAATTATTGTAGTAATCGTGGGAAGAGTCTGTTAGGGGTTCAGGTGCCCTTGGAGCTGAGTTATGCAAATACAGCGGTGGGCACAAGGGCCGTGTCGAAAGTCAAAAAGCAGAGAAGAGTGAATGAGATGAATTCCATCACTGGAGGCTTTTAAGACCTTACAGCCATTTTTCTGGAATGGTACAGGGTCTCCTGCCTGGGCAGGGGGTTGGACTAGATGACCTCTCAGATCCCTTCCAACTCTGTTGTTCTGTTATTCACAGGTCCCTTTGCCGTGATATCTAGAAGTCAAGCGATTTATCTTCTCATCTCTTCTTTTCTTTTTGGTATCCTTCCCTTTAGGCCAGCAGAAGTTGAGCGTCGAGATGTGGATTACCATTTCTTTGATAACAGCGTTTGCCTTTTTGGTTATGGTTTTTGCGATCCTGGTTTTGTTGTTCCGAAGGCGGAAAGGATCTGGCTCGATCAACTGAATAAAAAGATCCCTCAATTACCAGGATGTGTGGGTGAAATTATTATTTCACAACTAAGCCATAACATGATGGCTTGCTGGTAACTTTTTACACTGTGTGAACCCATCCATTTATGGCTTCCTAACCAGGAATGAAAGAAACCTGGGTTAGCAGTGGGTAAGAACCAGACCGACCAGGCTTTCAAAATTTGGTGGATTGCACGCCGTGCTTCTTTTTCTTCCTTTTGGAGTATAATTCTCTTGCTACGCTCTTAATTCTCTAAGATAAAATTCCTACTTAACGATCACTCTTAAATGGCTTCTTCAGAGGGTTGAGTTTCTCCTCCTCGGTTTGCAAAAAATCAACTATTTGATCCAAAACGGGATGCAAAGCTTTTCTGCAGCTTATGATGAGGGTTTTGAATGATCTTATGTCTCTGGGGGAATTTTCCAGCTCTTCAAGTTTTGTGGTTCTGCATAATTCTTGTGGCTCAATTGCTTCTCAGCACTCCTGTTGTCTCACACAGCAAGCAAGAATTCTTCCTTTGCAGTCAGCATGATTTTTTAAGTGACTTTTTCATCAGGAATGCATGTGTGTACTCTTAGGGGCTGGATCATTGCCACTGGTGCCGCGTATCTAAAATGCGAAATGATCCTGCTTTTCTATAGATTTCCAGCTTGTCTTTTCATCTCTGCTGTCTGGAATGCGGCCTCTGTCGCATTCTTTGCAAGGTAGACCCGTTCGTGGCATGTGCAAATTCTTGGATCGTCCTAGTTTTCCCTAGCTCCTATTCCCCCTGTTTAGAGATTTACTAATAAAACAGAATATTTGTGCATCGGGGTTGAACTATGGAGTCCTTGGTGCTCTTTGAGCTTGGTGGTTTTCTTGCAGACGTTTCATCACCAAACTAGGTAACATCATCAATGGTAGAAGGGAATGGGGGTTTTGGTGACAGAAGGTGGATGGGAGGGGGGGGGAGGAGGAGAAGGAGGAAGAGGAGGGCTGTGGGGCCCTTGGTGCTCTCTGAGCTTGGTGGTTTTCTTGCAGACGTTTCATCACCAAACTAGGTAACATCATCAGTGCTGTGATGTTATCTAGCTTGGTAACGTCTGCAAGAAAACCACCAAGCTCAAAGGGCACTAAGGACCCCACAGTCGATTTACTGGATCAATTTCCAGCAGAGGTGATTTTGGGTCAAATCTAAACCAATAGAAATTGGATCCAACAATTTTTATTACAGTATTTAAATGACGTGCACTTGTTAAGTGAATCTAGCTCCCTTCAAAGGGTCTGTCTAGAACAGGGGTCTTCAAACTTGGCCCTTTTATGACTTGTGGACTTCAACTCCCAGAATTCCTCAGCTAGGGCACGCTGGCTGAGGAATTCTGGGAGCTGAAGTCCACAATCATAAAAGGGCCAAGTTTGAAGACCCCAAGTTTGAAGAAGGAGGGTTAAAATAGGGCTGTTTTGTCCACACAGCAATCAATTTCTCTAAAAGGAAGTTAGATTCTCTTTATTCAAGATTTTGGACTGTACAATACAGTTCACAAACACATCAAGGTTAAATTTCCAGGCAAAATTAAACCAAAACACAAAGTAGAACAATATTGTATTTGTAATTTAATCAGCATAGGCATGCCCGGAAATACAATATTAGATGGAGTTACTGAATTTAAATGAGAATTATCAAGCAAAATTGCTGTTGAATGTTTTCACGGGACTCGTCCCAAAATGATTTCGGCCCCACCTCCAACGAGGGAATGGATGTCATTTAAAATGTTTCTTAATCGATCAGTTTGGTGTATTTGGAGAATCTCAATACAAAAAAAAAAAAAAAAGCACACAATGTCCATGATGCCTTCAGCTACCTTTTGATTTGTTTATTTCAGTATTTCCCTCCCCCCCAAATTTGGCCACAGTCACTGTATGACGTGTGGACTTCAACTCCCAGAATTCCTCAGCCGGCATACTTAAAGTCCATACCTCTTAAAGCTGCCAGGTATGCAAAAGAGTGATTTATTTAAGGACCCTGCTCCTGCAGGTTACGCCATAATGGTCCAAAGCAGAAAAGATCATTTTTACAAAAGTCCCAAAAGTTCTCAAAAATGGCATGGATGGACACATATCCCTAGAGTTAATTCACCCAAAGAAATCCATTTGTCATCTCTTATCTGGCCAAGACAGAGACCAAATGTAGCAAAGGCTGCCCAGATTCACTGGGGTCTGCGGGGGTGCTTTTGACCTGATGTTGGAAGAGTCCTTCCACATCTGCCGGCTGGTCAGAGACCGTGATCCTCCGGCGAAAGTTCTGCCCCAGCAAGATGTAGATGAAAGGGTTAAGGCAGCTGTTGGCATAACCCAGGCTGATGGCCACATTGTAGGCATAGTAGAAGGGTAAAGTGGGTTGAATGGTTAGTTGGACAAGCTGTAGGACATGGAAGGGAGCCCAGCACAGAAAGAAGGCCAAGCAGATGGCAATGGCGATCCGTGTCACCCTTTTGATCCGGAGCTGGGTGCCTCTTTGCCTGGTGAGGGCTTCAGAAGACCTGGCCATCTTCAGGAGGATTCTCTGGTAGGCCACCGTGATGACCGCAAAAGGGATGGCGAAAGCAAGGAAGAACTGGTAGAGGGTATACCAATAGATGTCCCACTGAGGGTCTGGCAGACGTATCCCGCACCCTAAAAGCTCTCCTGGTAGGGGAATCAACTGGGCGTACATCCAGACGGGAGTGATGCTGAGAAAGGAGAGGGCCCAAAGCACACAGATGGCCGTGATGGCCACCGGGGGCCTCCTGAAACGGGTGGAGGAGAAAGGATAGACGGTAGCTAGGTAGCGGTCAATGGACATGGCGGTGAGGATGTAAGTGCTGGTGAACTGGCTGTTGGCATCCAAGGCGGTGATGATGGTGCACATGGTTCCTCCAAATTTCCAGCTTCCTTGGCCCAACAGCTGGTGGATGAGGAAGGGCATCCCCAGAAGGAACAGGAGGTCCACCAAGGAAAGGTTGACAATGAAGATATCCGGTACGCTGCTGCTGGGGCTGGATTTCTTCAAGACGGCGCAGATCACCAGGCTGTTGCCAATGATGCCTACCAGACAGATGATACCAAAGAGGACAGACATGATAATGGTGGAATAACTCATGGAGCTGAGGTCACCTAGGAAGAAAGAGAGAGGGAGAAAGGGTCTTTGAAGTGCTATGTCTTGCTCAAGAAGGCTCGGCTAAAGATGAAGCTTTCCACCAGTGTTTTTCACTCTTGGCAACTTTTAAAAGGTGTGGACTTCAACTCCCAGAATTCCCCAGCTAGCTAAGGTGGAAAAACACTGCCTTACATTGTATTAGCTGATTTCTATACTAATCCTTACAAGAAGAGTATAAAGTACAAGGAATTATGAGCAAGACATGCACAGCGTTTTCTAATTGTGAGCTCAAGGAATTCTGGGAGTTGAAGTCCACAGGTTGTAAAGGGAGTCATCATTGCCCACCCCTGTATTCTACACTATTTTGGGGCTCTGAAGCGTCCCATTGATTTCAAGGTGCTTAAATCCAAGCGTCCTTTGAAGCCCCAAACTCCATAGCTGCTGCCTTTTGGTCTAAAAGAGCTTTCTGTGCATGCCCAGAAACTCTTTTCCATCTGCTTTGAACAGCCTGCTCCATTGGGTTGACTTCCTTTGATGCTTAGAGAGATCGTCTTGAATTCAATTGCCCCAACCATCCAAATCAAAGTGCCAAGCAGAATCATTTTGCAACAGTCACAGGGGTGTCTGATCCTCCACATTACAAGGACACCAAGTATTCTCTTGGCTGGGTTTGAAAAGCAGATTAAAAAAACCCCAAATCAATCAGAATTCGCCTAAGCCTAAGGTGCAAATCTCACCGATGGTGATTTAGTCAACAAAGGGAAACGCCAAAAATTACCTTACCTAATTTTGGCTTTAATACACAAACACACAGAGCCACATCATCTTGAGCATTTTAACAATGTGAAAACGAACAAAATCAGCGCAGCTAAAGGGAGTCACCGGCTTCAATTGAAACCCCAAAATGCACCCTTTCCCTAACTGGCTAATATTTCTTGGCTAGTTTCTGCCTTCGTCTCTCCCTTCATCGTCTCCCTCCAGGTTTAAAGATCAGAGAAAGTTTGGGATCAACCCCATCCTTCTCTTTCTCTTTCATTCTTCATTTCCCTGCATTTTTCTGCTTTAGCTTACCGTTGTCGGGAGGGAAGGCTTGTCCCAGCTCTGAAATGTTTAGAGCGGAATCGTTGGAAGTCTGGTTGGCTAGGAAATCCATTCTGGGAGGGAGCGTTGGAAAGCAGTTAGATCCCTGGGCTGGTGGGGAGAAGACGGTGAGGTGGGATCATGTGGAGATGGATTCCCCAGGAGATGTGCTCTCTCATGCCTTCCACATTTTCTGATTCTTCGAGATGAGCAGTTTTGCCTGCTGCAGGAAAGAACACACACACACACACACACACACACACAGCCCTACTGGCTTCTCTTGACTTTGCTTGCTTTCCTATACCGCCTTCTGCACACGCCAAAGACAGACCATCTCCGTGCATTTTTGGGGAGGACTTTGCTGCCTAGCTTGGAAACAAGGACGGGAGCTGTGGGGTTTAAGACCACAACATGCTTGCCGTACAGCTGGGGGAGTGGGAGGGGGCTGCAGGCATGAACCAGAGCCAAACCTGGTTTAATGAGTTATCCCCAGGAGTGGATGGATTGAATTAAGCCAGCAAAACAACTCGGATGGAAATTAGCCAGCACATTTTACTAGAGGGTGTTGTGCAAATCTGTGTGTTTGTGTGTGTGTGGGGGGAGAGAACTGGGCAAAAAGAGGTTGGAAAGCTCCCCCCCTCCCAGGGTCTTTCCTCCTCTTTGCTGTGTGATTGTGTTTCCAACTGGTGAGTCTTCCAGCTAATGGGAATCAAGTAAGGGAATTTAAGAAAGCTTTTCCTATGGGGCCGAGTTGATCCAATGCTGCTCACGAGCTAAAGCAATTGCATTCAGAAGATACACGGAGCACAAACGACATCGCTGTGCGGCTTTGTCAGTTCTGTGTATTAAAGACTGGCTGTTTTTTCTCCTGGAGTTGGCATTCCTGGAGTGTGATCCAGGGTCTCCTATGGGCAAGAAGTGGGTTACAGACCTCGCTCAGCAGGGCTAGAGGCCAAATTGAACAGGGTAATCCCATGGTCAAAAATCCAGCTTCATTTTATCACTGGCGGTGCTCTTGCAAAGATGTGAAAACATACTGGATAAATATAACAATGACAATGCAAAAAACATATATTTTAAGATTTAAATATTAATGAAACCGGAAGCTTTCCTTTTAGGTATGATGGACAAGTCAATTGAAAAAAAAATGGGGGGGGGCTATGCCTTCACATGGTGACGGTAGTGAGGATTGTACTTGACAAACACTAGGAAGAAAAAGGGAATGAAGTTGAATTAGCAGACATAGTGAAATGAACTACTTTGATCAGAGATAATGGACTAGACAACTATATAAGAGACTGGAAACCGTTTGTGGACTTTCTATATGCTAAATGTAATAACAGACGGTTAACAGGGATTTGAATAGTAGTGTAATGTTCACCTGTTGACTGCTTTTTCTTCTTTTATATATATATTTGTAAAAGGGGGGGGGGAAATTTATTGCTTTTTTTTTTTTACAGCACCCAGCTAGGGTGGATCCTACACGTTAAATTTAATTGACCACTTTTTCCTCCTTTTTTGTACACTATTTTTTTTCTTTTTGGTTGTTGTTAGGATTGAATGTATGTTTTTGTTTTGTTTCGTTTTGTTTTACTGTTTAGTATTTGATTTTCTATTATAAAATAATTTTTTTTTTAAAAAACAGTGCAATCCTAATTTCATTTGTTCTATCACCCATTTCCTTTCTCTTCATCCTAACCTCACCCTATACCAGTGTTTCTCCATCTCGCAACTCTAAGAGTGGTAGGCATCAACTCCCAGAATTCAACTGTGATCCTAAGTTGAGTTCTACCAGCGTATTTTTTGATGTAGGGTGGGGAAAATTTTGTCAATGTCATCTTAAGCTTGGTCTTTGGTGAGCGTATTTGGACAGATTGTTACCCAGATATCCAGCTTGTGTATCCAGAATCCAAAACACAGAGGGAAGAATCCCTAAGACCTAGCTCTACATTTAGGGGAGTATAAAAGTAATGCTAGAAGACGGCATGTCCCCTTTTATAATTTTTGTCTCCATTTGCTGAACAATCTGCATTTAGCTAAATTCAAGTCCAAGCTAGCTGAATGAAGGCTTAGCCCCAAGATTCACCATTTGAGGCTCTGGATCACACACCCATAACAAACACCCTGGGCCAGAAATTTAGGACCTCTGAAAGTTACCACCTTAGTTTTTAATCTAACCAAAGAGAAAAATGATTAAGGATGTGCCTGTGCTGTAATCAATCCAGCCGGCGTTTAATTGTAATCAAAACTGAAATGGAACTGAACTGAAATTCCATTTAATGTTTGACCTTTTCCACTTGATAGCTTTTTGGAATATGTTTTTGTCACATGCAGATCTTGGGCCTGAAAAGGGTGTGTGTGTGTGTGTTTGTGTGTGTACACACACATATATACACCTTTTCAGGCCCGAGAGCTGCATCTGATTTGTGACAAAAACATATTCCAAAAAGCTATCAAGTAGAGGAGGTTAAAAAATGGAATGGAATTTCAGTTCGGTTCCATTTCAGTTTGATTACAATGTATATATACACCTTTATATATGTGTGTGTGCATGTGTGTGTGTGCGTATGTATGTATGTATATATGTGTATATATATATATATATATATGTGTGTGTGTGTGTGTGTGTGTGTGTGTATGTGTATGTATATATTATTTGTGTATGTGTTTGTATATATATATATATATGTATCTCGAGAGCTAAAAGTGATGTGCTGGCCCTTCACACATTCACACAGTTGGTGCAAGCTGAGAAATGGGACAGAGACAGCCTGGATGAAAAGTAAGTGGCAAAAAGTATATTTGATGACAGCTTTAAGCAACCAAGCAGAAGAAAAAACCTTTTTTAAAAAATTCAAACTAGACCTAGAGTGACCGATATTTGGCATAAGAAAAACTACTGTGCTTAACCATCCAGCTTTCTGCAAAGCTGCTAAATGCAACAAACAAACAAAAGGCAGAACACAACCCCCCCTAGAAACAAAGAAATCAAAAACGCTTGACCTGCCCCACCCGAAAGGCAATCGTAAAGAGATGTACCGGCTTTAATTTGGGGTCTTTGCCACGGCCCGTATTTCGGTTCCATTTGCCGTCGCCAGCAATGTAGTCGGGCATAGATTCCCCTGCTCCGTTTCCCACGTTAAAATCAAAATCAACACTGTCGTTGGGTTCCTGAAGCTCCAGGAGCAACCGTGCGTGAAAACCCTGCCTAAAAGCTGCCGAGAAGGTTTTCAAAATAATTGGGAGCGAGGGCTTGGCTATATTAGCCTCCGGCTCTGGAGAAATCAGTCTCTTAATTCCCTGTTAATAAGGAGCTGAACCCTGGTCCTCTTGGTGGGTAAACAATTCTACAGAATACTGTAACAAGGATGTTTTTTTTCCAGCTACATTTTCTTTTTTTGTTAAAGTGCCACTGTCGGGAGACATTTTGAGCCGCTATCCAATTTATTCACCCCTTGTGAGAAGTTTCTGCTTCCTAGTCAATAATGAGATTGGAGACAGAACTGCTTCCATTGGCATTCTCTTTCTTGGACGGGCCCCTGAGAGAGAGAGAGAGAGAGAGAGAGAGAGAGAGAGAGAGAGAGAGAGAGAGAGAGAGAGAGACAAAAAAAAAAAAAACGATCAAGATTGCAGCTTTCAGGGGTGACATCTCATTAGCTAACAGGGATCTTGTCCCAAATTTTCAGAATATTTGTGACTACGTGACCTGGTTTTAAGAGCCATTTCAAAAGGAGAACAGAATGCCCTGAATTTTAAAAATAGATGAGTTGGGAGGTTGTGTTATTTTGTTTAGCATCAGTCGGCATTTCGTTGTTTAGGCTGATGGTTGGTTCCAGCAAAAACTGTACCTCTGCGGGGTAAGGCCTGAGTTTGCCTGCTGTGCCAATGCAGGGTGCATTCAATGAAGGGGAATGCACAGATAAAATCCTGCAAAATATAAATTGATCACAGATATTGGGGTTTGGACCACAAGCTAATTATAATTTTTGAGTTTGGGGATAAGTGTGGGATGTGAATGGCCGCAAATAGGAACTGATGTTGGTTTGTGAGGAGAATGCAGTCCATGCTGCAATTATAGTTTAAAGTGGAAATAGCCTAGAGAAGGACAAAAATAGGCTACAGCAGAAGCATAAAAAATTACCGATTGTGACACTTCACAATCTTGTAGAAGTGGGCTCTGCTAGGCACTGAAATGAAGACAAGCTCAGGGACTGGAGATAGGCTGGAGGGGAATAAGTGAATCAGAAAGTGCCCTTTATTTTTCCTGAATTTATACTGCTAAGCCAGTGACTGGGGCAAGAAATGGTGCCAAACTGGCTTGTGAAACCATGATTTGTCACAATGAGTCAAATGTGGTGGGAAGCGCAAGAAAGATTTATTATGAAACCTGGTCTATGAACTATACAAAGTCAAGAAGAACCGAAACAGGGCTTAAGAGTGAAGCTAGTTCCCGAGGCTTGTGAACCACAGTTCAAAACTTAGCTTTTGGCACAAGCTAGGCTAGGCCATTCGTTACCGCTTGTTCACAACCTACAGTTAAAGCAAACTATAGTTCAGCACAATGCAGGAGCTCCGCTGATCTGTTGGAACGAAATTTCCTGCAAAACATTGGCACAACACCTGTCTGGAAGGTATGTCAAAGGCATGTCAAGGCAGCCAATGTGGGCTAGTCTGTCAGGGGTGAAGAATCAGGATCAGACATACTGGAAGTTCCAGTTCAGGAGATTTATTGCTCAAGCCTACGGAGGAGAATCCAGCCCACTAAAAATCAGCACTGAATTGTTGCTAGGTAAGAATTAATAGAATTCAAGGGGAGGGGCTGGACTTGGAACATGGACACATAACGATTCTAAGCTACGTCCTCTCTCGACTCCACCCCCCAAGCTCTGTCTGCTCTTCTCCTGCACCGTCCGACGGTCTGTAGCTGCTCTGGAACAATATACGGAATATAATTTATTATCAGACCTGGGGTACTTACTCTCGAATGGGCCAGTAGCTGAGCAGGGTTGTAAGAGACAGGTAACAAACACTCAGCATTCCGGAAACCAGCAGCGACAGCATGCCCAATCCACCAAGAATGCAAAGCAAGGTGACGCCACCCAAGGATATTACGAAACCTAGCAAGGAGAAGATGTCACAAGCCTTCTTATGGCTTTTCTAGCAATCGTGTTTTTATTGCATTATTGTCAATAGATGGCAGCACCCAGCAAATTTATGGCTGGTCTAGGTAGGACCGCTCAGCAGAGTTAGGCCTGGTTAGTTCTTACTCGGGAGGCCTCTAAAACATCTAAGGGTAGTAGGCTAGAGTAGGAGAGTGAATAAAATCCTGTAAGGAGGCAATGAGGAATTACTTCTGCACTGTTGCCAAGGGAACAGGCTTTCTGCCATTAAACTTCAAGCCCGTTTAACTTTATTTATTGTCTTGAAGGATCACATTGAAAGCTGTCTCTGGAGAGGCATGGAGGCGCCATCCCAACTCTTTCCCCCAAAGACGTGAATTACCTTCCATGACGATCACTCCGATGCACGCCAGGACTGTGGTAGTGACGACAAAAACCAGAAAAAATGCAATCGGAACGGCTGAGGCTGCGATAAACACCATCAGGGAGAGGGCAACAAAAGGGTGATCATCTAAGTACTGGCCAACTCTGGAGTTCATAAAAGAAAGCACCTGGGATATAAAAGGAAAAAGAAAAAATGTTTTTAAAAGATTTGGAGAATTTATTCTGGGAAGTGAAGCTCTTACAAGAGGAAATCATATTGAATTAAGGCGAGCCTAATACAGGTCTCTTAGAATAGAATGGAGCTGGAAGGGACCTTGGAGGTCTTCTAGTCCAATCCCTGCTCAAGCAGGAGAACCTATATCATTTCAGACAAGTGACTGTCCAATCTCTTCTTTAAAATCTCCAGTAATGGAGTGCCCAAGAATTCTGGGGGTAAGCTGTTCCACTGGTTGATTGTCCTCACTGTCAGGAAATTTCTCCTTAATTCCAGGTTGCTTCTCTCTTTGATCAGTTTCCAACCATTGTTTCTTGTCCTTCCCTCTGGTGCTTTGGTAAATAATATGACCCCCTCTTCTGCCTTGTGGCAGCCCCTCAGATACTGGAAGACTGCTATCATGTCTCCCCTGTTTCTTCTTTTTTTTGAGTAGCCAAACCCTAGTTCCGCAGCCATTCTTCGTATGTTTTAGTCTCCAGGCCTTTGATCATCTTAGTTGCTCTTCTCTGAATTTTTTCCAAACTCTCAACATCTTTTTTGTGATATGGTGACCAAAATAGGCTGCAGTATTCCAGATGTGGTCTTACTAGGGTTTTATAAAGTGGCACTAATACCTCGCGTGATCTTGATTCTATGCCTCTGTTTATACAACCCAGGATTGCATTAGCTTTTTTGGCTGCTTCTGCACACTGCTGGCTCATGGTTAAGCGATTGTCCACTAGGACTCCAAGGTACAACCAAATATTTTTTGCCATTTCCTCCCAATATCTTTGCAAAGCTGTGTTCGCGCAAGTTTACGCATGATTTAAACATCATCCGTTGCACAAATCCAATTGGCTGATTTTGCATTACCATAACCCTAACCCTACTGGTTGGGTTGGGTTCCCACAAAACAAGCTTGCCAAATTTTAGCCCAGTTATAATGCAACGATGGCTTTGAGACAAGAAACAAGGCGTGTAAGGGAGGATTAATTCTCCTTTCCATCCAATTTTTATTTATCCCGACTTTTAGTTTTAGCTGGTCTTTCCCTAAACAGAAGGAAAATGTGACTTCAACAGCGATAAAATTTCTCCGTAACTCACATGTGAGTTGCTATGTACCGTATCCATCATCGCCAGCCAACGTTTCTGGAGCTCCTTCACTTCTTTCGACATGGTGACGCTTTCAAGCTTAAAAACAAATCCTAAATTTGTTTTCAAATCCTAAATCCTAGAAAGAGGATGAAAAAAGGAATATTTTGACTGCTGTATTTATTCAGATTCCCAAATGTAAAGCAGACTATAGTCCGTAGAGAGGAATAATAATAATAATAATAATAATGATGATGATGATGATGATAAAATTGGAAGAGACCTTGGAACTCATCTAGTCCACCCCCTACTCAGGCAGGAAACCCTATACCATTTCAGACAAATGGCTGTCCAATCTCTTCCAGTGTTGGAGCATTCACAACTTCTGGAGGCAATAAGGAGTCTACAGGTAGTCCTACTTTTAGTACAAGGTTATTCAGTTATCCTCGACTTACAACAGTCTATTTAGTGACCGTTCGAAGTTACAACGGCACTGAAAAAAGTGACTTATGACCATTTTTCATACTTATGACCGATGCAGCATTCCTGGGGTCACATGATCAAAATTCAGATGCTGGGCAACTGGTTCATATTTACAACGGTTGCAATGTTCCCCCGGGGTCACACAATCCCCTTTTGCGACCTTCTGACAAGCAAAGTCAATGTCTCGCTTAGCAACCAAAAGGTTGAACTCAATTGTTGGCTGTGAGTCAAGGACTGCCTGTATTCAAACATTCTTAGGCAATAACCTTTAAGATCCCCATTTTGCTACGAAATGTATATTTTTAGAAACAACTTCATTCCCCCCCCCCCTTTCCTGTTATTACAGGAGTCGGATTCCACATAGTTGCAATTCCTAGTAGAACCTTTGCAATTGCACTGGCAAACTCCAAAGGCTGCCTGTTTACTACAGCTTTATAATGTTTCCACAATGTAGATTCTTCTAGAGGTAGGAAAAAAAACAAACAAAGCAGGTGGAAGAAAAATAAATAAAAGGATTTCTTTTTTTGAAACATCCCTGAGATGCTGAAGGAATTGTTCAGATTATCTTTGCTATCCAGAAACAAATATCCAAACAGTCCAATCTCTCACCGGGTAGTAGATGCCCTGTTGAATTTCTGCCTGTCTGCCTCCTATAGCTATCCAGTTGCAAGACTGCACCCCAAAATACCCAGCAATTCTTCAAAATTTGACAAAAGCAGGGCACCAAATGAGCAAGGGCGCTGTCCTGGGGAACCTCTGCCTGATCCTCCAGCCTCAGCAGGGCTGGGGGGGGGGGGGGAGGACAGGAGAAGAAAAAAAGAACTGTCCTGTTGAACCTCTGCCTGACACTGCAGTCTCAGCAGCACCTGAGGAGCAGCAGGAGGGGAAAATATTTCCCAGTGAACCTCTGCCTGCTCCTTCAGCCTCAGCAGGACCTGAAGGACAGTGTGAGGGATACCACTGTCCTGGTGAACCTCTGCCTAACCCTCCAGCCTCAGCAGGGGCAATTGGGGGGGGGGAAGGGAGAGATCTGTCCTATTGGACCTCTGCCTGACCCTCCAGACTCAGCAGGAGCAATTGCAGGGGGGGGAGAAGGGGGAGAATCTGTCCTGGTGAACCTCTGCCTGACCCTCCAGCCTCAGCAGGGGCAATTGGGGGGGGAGGAAGGGAGAGATCTGTCCTGTTGGACCTCTGCCTGACCTTCCAGACTCAGCATGGGGGAATTTGTCCTGTTGAACCTCTGCCTGACCCTCCAGACTCAGCAGGAGCAATTGCGGGGGGGGGGGGAGAAGGTGGAGAATCTGTCCTGGTGAACCTCTGCCTGACCCTCCACCCTCAGCAGCCCCTGAGGGGCCCCGGGACGGCCGACTGCCCTGTTGAACGTCAACCCCCTTCCCCCCCCCCCCGAAGCCCGAGCAGGGTCCGCGGGAAAGCAGCTCCCAGGTCGAACCTCCGCCTGCAGGCCGGCCGGCTGCTCGGCCTCGGAAGGCGCCGCCGCGCCTCTTCCTTCTCCTCCCCGCAGGGAAAGGCAACGAAGCGGGCCGGGCCTGCCTCGCTCCCTCGGCCTTACCTCCGCCGCCTCGCCTCGCCTCCCCCGGCCCAGCCTGCTCGGCCCTGTTGGGCGCTCCCGGGCCGGCAAGGCGCTTGAGGAGGGAGCCGCCTCCGCCTCGCCCGCCCGCCTGCCCGTCACTCGGCCCGAATTAGCTCGATTTGCCTCCAGGCCGGCGGGCTCGGCCTCTCCGGGAAGCGGCCCGGCTCCTCCCTTGCAGGGCGCAGCGATGCGGCGGATCCAGCAGGAGGATGGCGGCGGATGCGGTTGGCGCTGCTCAGGCTGCGGGAGACGGCATCCCTTTTGGGGCCCGGACCGCCCCTGGCAGGCTGCCCGGCCTCTTGGTGCCGATGTTTATAAATATGATAAAAAAAAGATGTGATCAGGTGAAGTGTTAATACCATTTTACAAGGCCTTGGTAAGGCGACACCTGGAATACGGCATCCAGTTTTGGTCACCACGATGTAAAAAAGAGATTGAGACTCTAGAAAGAGTGCAGAGAAGAGCAACAAGGATGATCAGGGGACTGGAGGCTAAAGCATATAAGGAACGATTGCTGGAATTGGGGATGTCTAGTTTAACGAAGAGAAGGACGAGGGGGGGCATGATAGCAGTCTTCCAGTATCTCAGGGGCTGCCCCAAAGAAGAGGGAGTCAAGCTAGGCTCCAAAGCCCCTGAAGGTAGGACAGGAAACAAATAGATGGAAACTAGTCAAGGAGAGAAGCAACCTGGAACTAAGGAGGAATTTCCTGACAGTGAGAACAATGAACCAGTGGAACAACCTGCCTCCAGAAGCGGTGAGTGCTCCAACACTGGAAGTTTTTAAGAAGAGACTGGATAGCCATTTGTCTGAAATGGTACTATAGGGTTTCCTGCCTGAGCAGGGGGTTGGACTAGATGACCTCCAAGGTCCCTTCCAGCTCTATTCTGATTGATTGGGTGACATAATAGCAGTCTTCCAATATCTCAGGGGCTGCTCCAGAGAGTCAAGCTATTCTCCAAAGCACCCGAAGTCGGGACAAGAAGCAACGGGTGGATCAAGGAGAGAAGCAACCTAGAACTAAGGAGAAATTTCTCGACAGAACAATTAACCAGTGGAATAACCTGCCTCCAGAAGTTGTGGGCGCTTCATCACTGGAAGGCTTTGAAGAAGAGATTGGACAACCATTTATCTGAAATGGTACTATAGGGTTTTCCTGCCCAAGCAGGGGGTTGGACTAGATGACCTCCAAGGTCCCTTCCAACTCTGTCATTGTCTCCCTATCAAATTCTTTCTCCAGGACGTGAGATAGGCAGAGGTAGTCCAGGTAGTCCTCAACTTTATATTGCTAGGTGAGAAATTTACTAAGGGAGTTTTGCCTGATTTCATTTACAGTCCATTTAGCGACTGTTCGAAGTTACGACGACATTGAGAAGAGTGACTTATGACCGTTTTCACACTTAGGACCCTTGCAGCCTCCCCATGGTCATGTGATTTACATTCTGATGCTCAACAACTGACTCACATTTATGACGGTCGCAGTCCTGGGTGGGGTCACGTGATCTCTTTTTGTGACCTGACAAAGTCAACGAAGCCAGATTCGCTTAACGACCTAGTTTAAGAACTGCAGTGATTTGCTTAACAAATGTGGCAAAACAAAGTCGTAAAGTGGGGCAAAGCTCACTTCACAAATTTCTCACTTAGCAACATAAATTCAGTGGTGGACGTAAGTTGAGGACTCCCTATATACTATGAGCTTTTCCTCCCTCGAAGATCTTTGCCCCCTCTCCTCCCCTGCCCGGGTCACCCCCCCCTGGTTCTACCTGAAGTGCCCCGTCCACCTTACCATATCCAAACCGTGTTTGCTCGTTAAACAAACCGCCTTTCGCAGGAGCCGCTGGTGAAGATCCAGGCTGGCAGGAATGGCGTGGCAGGGCAGCCAAATGGGCAGAGTGGGGAGGGGGGGTTGTGGGAAGAGCGGAGTCAGGTTGCTTAGCGACAGCAATGCGGTCCCCTCGGTTACCCCGAGCGCGCAAGAAGGGGGAGAGAATGTCGGAGAGCAGAAGTTCTTTCTGAGCTCTGCTTCCCCAGCGCGGACAGGAACAGGTGACTGGGACAGGAGCTGGAGTGGCGGGGAGTCCTCTGGGCCCCTATGTGGCCGTGGCTGAGGTTGAGAAGAGGCAAAAGAAACGGGTGTTTGTTTGCTTTGAAAGTGCCCGGCTTTGCTTTGTCTTTCTTTCTTTCTTTCTTTCTTTCTTTCTTTCTTTCTTTCTTTCTTTCTTTCTTTCTTTCTTTCTTTCTTTCTTTCCTTCCTTCCTTCTCTCTCTCTCTCTTTCTTTTCTTCTGTTGTTTTCTTTCTCCCTCTTCCTTCCTTCTTTCCTTTCTCTTTTCGTTCCTTCCTTTCTCTCTCTCTTTCTCCCTCCTCTCCATTTCCTTCCTTCTTTCCCCTCTTCTCCTTTTTCCTCTCTTTTCTCTCCCTCCTTTCTCTCCTCCTCTCCCTTTCCTTTCTCCTTCCTTCCCATCTTCTCTTTCTTCCTCTTTTCTCTCCCTCCCTCCCTCCCTCCCTCCTTTCTCTCTCTCCTCTCCTCTCCTCTCCTTTTCCTTTCTCCTTCCTTCCTTCCTTCCTTCCCCTCCTTTTTCCACTCTTTTCTCTTCCTCCCTCCTTTCTCCCTCCCTCTCTCTTCCTCTCCTTTCCCTTTCCTTTCTTCTTCCTCCCTCCCTCCCGCTTCAGAATGAGTGTGGATCACTTCCTAGTTCCTAACGATAAGATAACGTTTCTTTCTACCTAGCCTAACTTGGGAGGGGTGTTTGAAAATACATTCAGTGGGTGCCCTCATGAAGGAATATTATAAAAATGGATCGTAGCATAACGGGGGTTGTTTTGACTGTCAACTGGTGTGATTCTTCTAGATGTTTAAAGCCGCAATAAGGATTTATTTTTGGAAAGTTCATTGATCTAATTGATATTTTGGAAGAAGAGGAAGATATCCTAAGAAATATTCAACATGAATCCAAAGGAGATTACCCAAATTTTGAGGGTAAGCCTGAATAATTCTTATGAAAACATTGTCTGGGTTTGCTTATTGTGCCAGAAACACAATCCTGTTTCCGAGATGTAGGCTTCCTGTCTTGTATTTTGCAGGAAGGGGGCCCTAAAGTCTGTTAAAAGTGTGGGATTCTCCCTGGGGTCATCCCGCCTTGATTTTATTCTAAAGCCTCGTAGTTATTATTATATTTTGTATACCATCTTTTGTATACATAACTCAAGGTGGCACAAATACCTAATATTCCTGCCTCTATTTTCCTTACAACAACCCTGTGAGGTGGGTTGGTCTGCTGATCCATTCAAAAATTTGCATGAAGAGAATCCTAAGAAATTTAGGAGCCATCTGACAAATCTTTAAATTCCACAATTGAAAAAGTGGCTTGGATCCAGGATTGGTTTCTAAAAAATGGGTTCGTAATTTTAAAAAAAGCCCAGACTTGGGTTTTGGGTTTTTTTCCCCCAGACCAATTTAAATGCAGGATGGCAGGGGTGAAAACAGGATTGTAGCACTACAATGTTATGATCTAGATACATTTTGCATTTTCTTGAAGCTTTCCCCCCCATATTTTTTAGACACAGACTGATTCTATCTATAATATGAGCCATGCAAAGCAGATACCCGAATTGCCCTCTTTGCCTTCAGTGGCGGCCTCTGATCCCTCCCAACTGTATCAGGTGAGTCCTTGCATTCTTATTAGAAAATAATTATTATAGGAAACCAGCTCGAGAACAATACAGGTCGTTCTTGTTCAGCAACCACAACTGGGACCGGCAACTGTTGTTAACTGAAGCGGTTGCTAAGTGGGAAATCGAGCAATTTAGCAACTGTCGCTTTCCTTTCCCCCACTCACCTCAGCAGCACTGGGATAGCTTGGTGAAAACTGACAAGGTTGATCAGTTTCAAATCTTTCCCTTTTGTTTATTTCCCCTCTGCCATGCTCATCTGGGAGCTGGGATAATTATCCAGAAGGGAATTAATGTGTGTATTTACATTCATTGAAGAGGAAGGGATTATAAGAGAATAAACTGGTTTACAACAGGGAATACACGAAAGAAAACTGTGAGCGCGCCGCACAAAAAGCTTGATATATTCCCATTATATGCCTGCTTATTCACTTGTAATCCTTTCCTCTCCAATTTCTCTGCTGGCAGGGAAGGAGAAAAAGAGCGTCGGGCACTGGAGAGATTGCCTACAGAATTGCTTGGCTTTTTTTTCCCCTCAATCTCACCTCTGCCTGACATTTTTTTTTCCTCCCCACACTTCCAGAGTAGAAAGATTAGAGAAGAAGGGATTAGAAGAGAGTAGCAAGCACATAAGAGGGAATACACATAATGCGGTGGCACTGGCAGCCCTGAGCATGCCAGGCAAACAGCCCAGTGTATTCTTCATTGCCTGCCTGCTTACTTTCTTGTAAATCCGTCTTCTCCAATCTCCCCATTCTGCAAGAGGAAAAAAAAGGAACTGGTCAGACACAGGACCACAGGCTCTGACTGTATTGGCAATCCCACGACCGATGCTTATCGCTAAGTTGCAAATGAAGGCATTGGTTGTAAAGATACTTTGTCAGGACTGTTGTAACTTTGGACTGTTGCTGAACAAAGCAGTTGGTAAATGAGATCTATCTGTATATCAGCTTTCCTTTGCTTCCAAGACCTGCGAAGGTTATAAATAGGAGGATTGGTTTTAAAGTTATTTTTTTCATCACTGTCATAACTGAAAATGGTTGCTAAGCAAGGCAGTGGCTAAAAGAGCATTAACTGTACTCATTGGGCGCAAGCAGTAATCTGGAAAAAAAAAAGAAGATTAATTAGTTTAGTTTGGGGCTTCCTCCATCCTGGGCAAATGGCTGATGCTAGAAATATGGAGTGACTTTTTGTTCAAGGGTTTTGCAGGGAACGAAAGCAAAACTGACTAGCTTCCTAAACTTAATGCCATCCAGACTGTAACGTTGAGTTGCATTTCTCACTTTTGATTTTTTCTCTGGTCGTGAAGTCGAGGACTACTTATACAATTACACATTGTGTTTGGAGAGGCTTAGCAAGAGATTGGATTCAAGTTTGTACAGTGCCTCTGTTTATTTGCTTGAGGAGACAACCAACCGACGTATAGTCCTCTAAGTTATGCAAACTTATGTGGGCGGCTTCATTTGAAGGAGGCAATTGCAGCATTACAAGGAGTTTGCCGGTATTTCTCAGTGATGGAACCTGTTCCTGCACTTCCATCTGGGATATTTTGTCGTGTCTATGCCAGGAAATAAGTTCCCTGCCTAAAACAGAAAGCAATTCCCTCGAAAGGCGTTTTCCC